CCGTCGTGTCGGAGTTCCGTGGAACGAGAAGTGTGCGGTCGTGCTTTCCGCTGATAGCCGTCTTGTGCTAATTTGTTATTTTTGAGACGGAGTAGCCGCAGGGCTTTTGCGAACCCTAATACAGATACGCCCCCGTACGTCGCCGAGGTTCCCTTAAAGCGCAACCCAATGCTCATGGGAGAATAACAAAAACAGCGTCGACGGCTTTTTGTGACGATTCCTCGGCTTCAGGCCCGGCCGACGGGATAACAATGAGACGACAGGAAGACATTCAGCCGCGGCTCGCTTACGCCGTCGTGCCGTTCGAAGCAATTAGAATCGTCCCACGATCTCACTTCGTTTAAAGAGCATTTAATCGCTCCCGCGGCCGGCATGATGCTCGACGTGATGCTCCGATCTGGGGATCGGTATGAATTGATGTCTTTGTAGGAATCAGATCTGAATTTCTTCTGATTGGCCGCGAGAGATCCGTCGGACGAATTTTCTCTGCCGAATGAGCCGCGATGCTACATGATTCTCGGGGGGAAAAATGTTTTTGGGAAGTTCTTCATCTGATTTTTCTGAAAAAGAGGTTGATGGATTCTCCATGAAGCGTTCCGCTCCATCCGATCCAAGTGTGGCCGAGAAGCCGAGCGGACTTCGGTTTTTGCGAGAATGCGATGTTTGATTCAATGAAGTCGTCTATCACTATCTCGTTGTAGCCATCGCCAGCTCGGTTTACGAGCTTTTGTTAGACCCGGAGCATGAATTTTGAAAAGTAGCGAATGCTCGAATCTTCCGGTATTCGACCACCTTGGATGAGAATTCGCGGAGAGTCGTATCATGCAAGAAACCTCTTGTCTCATGTCTTAGCCATAAATAGGAGAACAATACCGCGGATGATTTTAGTCATCGTAAAAGCTCATCGGTTACCGTGTCTTTGATCCTTACACTGACGGGTGACCTTCGTCCGCGTTCTGCCTCATAGGAAAATCTCTGATTCAGCGTTTCTCAGGCTCGTCATCGTATACCGCGCCTGCACTGAGTCTCCAGGGAGAGTTCCCCGCGAAAATACAGATTCAGAGTCTCCGAGCAAGAATTTTGAGGATAGTGTACGTTTGAGGATTCGCCTCCTCAACGTGTCTATCATGGAGACTTTCGGGAATGAAAGTCCCTACTCATCATCAAATCTGCGAGCTACGACTTTTCCTAGAGGCTTTCCAGCCGCGCGCCCCCTATATGGCTAGAGTGAAATCAGTGAATCGGGATTAGCGCGAAAATCGCCTCTCCATGCGATGAAGAAACCAAATAAGCCACGATCTACTCTATAATTATCATTTTTCGCTAACGTTCTCCTCTCGCGCACAGCGATGTACTAATGGAGGTAATATATTATTTCCCCCGGGATTGAGTCACGACAAGTCGATAAGATGAGTTGGCGGAATTCGACGGAATCACTCCGATTTCGGCTTCGGATGGCGAGTTTCTGTTTCCGAATCACGTCGGCTGGCTGACACCTAGCACCCAACGCATCTACGACATGATTTCTCGCTGCAATTCTCTGCTGCCGTCTCGCTATCGTATGCTTGTATCAATCGAGAGCGCACCGATTTTTCTCGGAAAGTTCGAAAACGGAATCTCAGAATTTATAGGCTTCGTATGATATCGGCTCGGGCAAGCGGTCCAAGCGGTTTATCAGTTTTCTTTCTACAAGGTAGCCGTGGATTAGAAGATCCGCTGGAACATACGAAACAAACGGAAAAATATAGAGGATGACAGAACAGGAAAGAGCTCGAAAACATGCACCTCGAAATGACGAGCAACGAAGGCTGCAACCGAATATCCCTGGGTGGCCATCCATTCCTTCCCGTAAGATCGCACAACAACTATTTTCGGAAAGCTCGGTGAATCTTGGAGCCCGATGTTGCATTCGAGAGGCAGGAGCGGTGCCATCCTTCTCTCCATCGGGGGTCCGATACTTCGAAGAATTCATTTTGATCAACGCTTAATTGCGATTCCTCTGGCGGGAAGGTCCCGGCAGAACCCCACGAGGAGCGGAATTTCCGATCCGGAGAGCAGCTCAAATCATCTGAAGAGCGTACCATGTCCCTGAAAGCCGAGTATTGAAGCACAAGATGTAGCAAAGATGTTTGATTCCAGTTTCCGCGCGAAACGACCTCCGGTTTTCGTTTTGATTCATCCAGCCAGCCCTGCACTGTTTTGAATAGAAATATACTTCGGATGCATCGAGCTGTATCCTTGACGGTTCGTTCGTCGTGCTCTTCCTTACCGATCTGTGCCGAGCTTCCTCCTCCATGAGCTACGCTTGAGTGGCTTTCAGAGAATTTTGACATTTTTTCACGGATGTAATCCCATTCTGAAATCCAAGCTCACTTCGAAGCTTGCCGAATGTCATCCGTATTCCCTATCCGGAATTGAAGACTTTCGAAAAGTGAGACTCGAGACTCCGAATTGATCGAACGGGTTCCGTCCTGAGACCGCTCCACTTTCTGCGGAAACCCTTTTTTTTTCATTTTGTTTTTGGCGCTTTTCCTCCGGCTGGGGCCCCCAATAAATTATTGATGTCCTCTCCTACCGGTAAGGAAGAGCTCGACGAGATTACCGGAACTGCGCGAGGACCTCGGCATCCAGTGGCACTCACCACCTAATACGCGGATAATTTCATCGGGAGGATCGAAGAAGCGAAAGAAATATGTACACACATTCAAATGAACGAGCCAGAAATTCCCCACGATTTCTTCGTGGATTCGCTCACGTCAGAATAGCACGGGAGTGTCTCTGAAGTCGACGACACATTCAGAGACTTGATACAAAACTGCGGCTTATCGCAACGGTCATTTTTTCACGACGGGACGCGGCAATCTGTAATCTAATCGAGGATCATCTTACGGTATGATCTGCACCTCTCCGGAGCGCTCGGGTAACTCTTGACCCGAACGCTATCCGTGCCTTGACTTAAGCCACAAGGCCATCGAATTTTAATGGAAGAGACACAAACCCCACGAAAGAGCAGTCAGTTAGTGCTGCTGTGTTTTCATGGTGGGTCCGGACTCCGGACACGCTCCGTGGATCGCCCCTCGTACGGCAAGAGCCTTATCATACGCTGATGCATTGATTCATTCGATCTTGTCTGAGAATATTTCGGGAATAATCACGTCAATACGCTTTCTCGTTCGCGCTTGCCTGCCGGGACGCTTGCGCGCGTGTCCAATCCATCCGATCGGCTGGCTAGCTAGCTGTCTTAGTTAAGCGAAAGATAGAGAACGTTGCACTTCATTTTCTCGTCTCCTCCTTCCTTGTCTCAATTCATTTGGATCTTCTGGTCGTTCAGTCTTAATTGAGTTTGGTGAGTCTTGACAAGAAGGCCGCGACCGGATCGAGCCATCGTCACGACTTCATTTAGTTCCGAATGGAAATGCGGTATGTCCCGAGGGATTGATCGACAGTCCTGAGAGCGCCCGCTCTACCGCATGATCGCTTAGAGAAATGTCTAATCAGGTCAAAAGTGGCACCGTTGAACCAACTTCCGATCCTGGAATTGCGCGCATTTTGCTAAGCAGTTGGCCCTGAGCAATTCAGAAGTTTGTGATCGATCTCGAGAGGGGGCGAAGCCGTCGGAATGATCGACTATTCGGTGCGTACGATCCAAGAGCTCATTGTTCGTCGACGCACTGATCACTTCGATTGATTGCGGATTAATCGACAGTTCCTTTGTCGACTGCTCCATCGTTGTGCGATCCGATGCACTTGAACTTTGCCAGAGCTCGGGCGTGTAGCCCCATTATCGGAGGACCATTCTTTGCCATAAACGCATACTTAGGGCAGGGCGACACATAATGTATTTGGTAATGTCTCGATGATCACAGTATTTGTAGCAGCGGCGAAGCGGACCTTCGGGAAAATTACAGACACAGAAGAAGCGCACCCTGTTCCGCATCAACGGGATCGCTGATCCACTTTCCTCGGCCTTTATCTGGGCTCTTCCCATGAATCAAATCACGATAACTGGATAAGCCTAGACAGTGGCGTACTGTCCCCCTGTGGTGTCCTGAGGCGGACGCCCTCGATCACCAGACCTGAACCTTTCACTGACCCCTTGGATTTGATTCCGAATTTTCATACCGTCAATGCTCCAATCTCCGTCCCGATGAATTTTTCGAAGAAGTTTGCCCCAATAAATCGACATTTGCCTTCATATAAGGCCTCCTAGCAATTTTTCGGCTCATTTCGGTGGCCCGAAGTCTTGATTCCCCGGGCGGAGTCCACGCAGCGCCGAGCCTAGCTATCTAATATATAATATGTATCCATTGCTGCATAGAGTCCGACGCAAGTATCGCCGAGGCAAGTGAAGCGTTGACACGGGGAGAAACGGCGAATTCGAAACTTTCATGCTCGAGCGCAGAATTTCACCGGAGTAGGAATAAGCTCCGAGATGTTGAGCGCTCCTTGGATAGTAACTCTGGCTGCGCTCTCTTTGTCGTTTCGCTCGTCGATGCGGCGCCACAATAACGAGGAAAAGATCCGAGAATAATCTCGACAAGGAATCGGATCCAAGACTTCTCCTTTGACTCCTCGATCAATCGCATCGATTGTTGCCATCGTCGATGCCACGCCAAACACTGTAATACTCGACGTCGCTGTCCAATTCCTTCGATCGTAGCGAAATCTTCTTTTCGTGACGACTTATTTCCCTTTTGCTCGTTCGGCTACCGCCACGGTGATTTGAAGGTTTTCGGCATCCGACTCTCCGCTAAAAGCCGCATCAGAGCGACTAGCGATGTCCTCCCTCTCGATGGCTTTCTCGTACAGAAAGCAAAATGAGAGAGAAAGGAGTCCTCTCTGAGATGAGAATGATCCCTGAAATGAGAGAGAAAGGAGTCCTCGTCCCTACGCTGTCCCCGGATGTCGATTCGAACAGTGTCGCGGATCACTTCGGGCCAATCTGCGATCGAATTGGCCAATCATTAATCATCAGTTCAGGAAATGCTGCCAAGGTTGAGCATTGTTTCAGGTATCGGGTCTGGTGCTCGCTTTCGTTGGCGTCAACGAGTTGAGGTCGCTCGAACACTCGACCCGGGTTCATTTGCTAGCTACCTACTTGCTGTTGGCAGCCGCGGGCTTCCTCCTAGTGGTCTGCTCCCTGGGATGCCTTGCAATTTGGAGACTCCATCGTGGCATGATAGCATGGGTGAGTTCATGACGCTGGAAATCGGTCGGAGATCAGGCGAGAGCAGGGCCAAATAAATTTTGTCCAGATCTTGTGGCCTACAAACTGACAGAATTTTTCCCCTCCGCATTTAGTACGGATGGTTTCTGGTCATGGTACTCCTGGTTGAAGCGGCTTGTGGACTGCTGTGCTTCTACTCATATGGATACGTAAGATCGGATGCAAAATCCGAAATTCCATATTTAATTTTCCTTGCGCGCTCCCGTCTCAAGTGTCCTTGGTCAATTGCAGATATTCACGATATCCCTTCACAGGTGAAGAACGAGTTGCGGCATCAATTCCGGTCGCTTTTCCTCGACGAGTATGGGAAAAATGATCTGACAACCTACCGCATCAACAGGATGCAGAGAAACGTGAGTTCAGAATAGGTGAATCAAGGTGGAACGGAGGAACGCTGTTCCGCGTCGGAGCTCTCAGAAATGAGATGACGCTACCGCGAGACTCCGGGATCATATCGGTCAAACTTCATGAAATTCGTCATTCCGGCACGACATCGTCTGGCTCGCCGTTTGAGGGAGGCAAACCATGGACCCTAATATTGAGCTCCGATTTTCAGTTGAAGTGCTGCGGTATCGACGGTTTCGAAGACTGGGAGAAGTCCGAATGGCGGAAAGGCAATCCGAAGAGCTTCGTGAACATTGTTCCAACCTCGTGTTGCAAAACATGGTCATTTCTCTGTGGCAAATGGGATATCCCCAACAACATATTTTATGATGTGGGTGCCTATTCATTTGTTTCATTCTTTCCTCTTACTGAATCATATGGGTCGACAGGTTGCCGATCTCTCTGACGGCGTTCTCGAAACGAGCAATGCGAAAACACCCTCAATTTTCCGAGAACCCGCTCGCAGCTCTGACTGGGAGCCCACTGAAAACAACATGCCTGCGATCCAAGCACAAACACCGAGTCGCGAGATTCGAGCAATCACGAGAGCTCCCGCGTCATCGCGTCTTGGATGATGTGGGTTCTCGTTTTTCTTGTACGCGTATCGTACAAAGAACAGGGAGGAGTCACTTGTGGCTAGTGGGTGTGTTTTGTCCACACCAACCGCTAAATAAATCCGGATTCTCTGATGTTAGCCCAACATGTGCTCCTTGGGGCTGCGTGATCACTGACCGAAATCGGGATGGAGACAAACTCAGACTAAAAGATCTTCATTCATCTTGCCGTTCCAGGGCTGTACGACTGTGATAGCTCAGGGCATAGTACGCAATCTTTCCTACATCGCCGCCCTCGGTGCCCTAGTCTGTTTTCTTCAGGTCCTCGGCGTAATTTTCGTCTGCATTCTCTACAACAAACTCCGATACTACGAGCGTCCCAGCGTCGCAGCATATTCGGTTCATCGGAACAAATATCATTGTTACCAATACGCCTGAAAGAGCCCCGCAAAGCTGAATTCTTGAGCACAGATTCGGAACAAAGATCTGAGGGATCATCTGGCTGCCCGAGAAGCGTGATCTGACTGGATGGAGCATGGCCGAGGATCGTGTAGAAAAGGAATATGTTCATGTACATACCCATCCTCCGGAGGATGGCTCGCGAGAACCGTCGTCAACTCGACATTTAAACATGCATATAAAATCTCTAATTTATTGCCGGAACTCGAACATGTGTCAAGATGATAGATCTGTCACTTTCCCCTTGCTGTACAAATATGTTGGAAACTTATTGTAAGATGTTTCGCTCTCGTCGTAGCTAGAGATCGCTTTAGCTCCGTTTGATGACAAAATTTTTGGCGTTAAATGGATGCCGACCGTTCCTGAGGGGAAATCCTGAGCGCCAGGCATTCGGAGAAGTTTCTCGCTTCTTGCTGCCTGACTTATGATCGTCGGGCGATGGCCTTACTCCCGGCCAGAAACAGGATTTCGGCAGTCAGTGTGATATGTTTCTTTTTGATCGCCCAAGATGAAACTTTCAGGATTTGTCATCTCACCTCTGGAAAAGACTTCGCTACCGGATCTGTCCAATATGTCAATATGGCGCAGCCATGAACTTGTGAGAACTGCCATTGGATTTTGACACACACTATAGATAAAAGAAAGAGGATAATTGACCCTGAGAGTCTCTCAAATCGCTTTTGTTATAACGTCGCTGCTCTTCCCCGACGATGATCGCAAAGAAGAAGAGTGAGTGGAAAGCTGCCTATCAATAAAGTCGATCTTACAAGATCGAAGGAGGTTTTGAATCTAGATGTACCTAATAGTCACCGAATTGCTTTTGAGAGGCCATACAAAGTCGGTCGATAGCTCGTACGCTAGAGAATCATTCTAATCATCTCTTCTCTGACTGCCACACGGTGGAATTTAATTACGATGACCACCGTTACGACGAATTTTCAGCACCACGAACATTTTTTCCGCCTCCTACGGCTAGCTCACCAGAGAAATAATGTCGAAGAACATTTGTCACAGCAAATATTACAATGAACGGATCTCGCCGATCCCGCGGGCTTCGTTGTAGTGAGATCCTACTGTATTCGCTCGAAAAACCATCTCTAAACAGACAGGATTGTAGACAATCGGGTTATATCTTGATCTCATCCCAGTCTCTCACGGATCTCGCCTTCTCCTTCGGGGAGTGTTTTACACCGGTCCCATCTCACTGATATGTACAACCGAGCGAGACCGTGACCTCGGGACTGCGATTGATTTTTATGTAGGGTATGAGCAATGGAGTACGCTTCAACTTCTAGTCTCTATAATCGTACCGTTGCCACCCTTATCCCGATGGGGCTCACCCTCGTCATCGATAAGGTACATTCGTCAGGACTTAGGACAATTCTGGCTGAAGATATTTCTGAGTAGGGAGCAATTCACCAGATTCTCCGATGACTCACAAGGAAGCGTTCACTTTCGATTCTGGAGTTGTAGGTGGCCTATGTTTTTTTCTGAGAGGGCGCGGCCTAATTAAGAAAACCCTGCGATACTGGCGTCAGACGAACCGGGATGTAAAATGATAGTTTTTTCCTCATTTCACCTCGGACACCCTGAAGACCGGAAGGAGTGAAATCAATGGTCATTCGAATATTTCCAAGCCCCTCCGGCGACCCACGAATTGAGGCCATCCGAAAGCGAGTCTCGCAGATGGGAACTGAAGACTGTCCATCTTCGAGCGGAAGGTCATCCGTGTATCGAGTTGATATCAGATAAGCACGATGAAACGGAAGTTAAATCCTGAAGGAGTGCCGCTGTAGCGCACACAACCGCGAGCCGAGAAGTCGCACAACAATATGAGTCATAAGGTAGGGGCATGAGCTGCGATTCCGGTGAGGTGAGGCGAGAGTGTCATGACTCCGTATTCTGTCTCGAGATTGATTCTCACGGAAATGTGTGCTCTCGATCTGGTGAGGTGGCGTCGAGGTCGGAATTCCCGAAGCAAAATATTTGTCCAATCATCAGAAGTCGAAGCTCTCGGGGAGCGAACGAAGACGCCGAATTCTAATACACCGCGGAACGACAGAACGGCTTCATTCTCGAGCTGTGCTCCATCAACCCTTCCATGGTTCCCAGATTTTTCGGTGGATGGTTGGAGAGAGCGCAGAGGAGTCGAGACCGGGACGGCCCACGGCTTGAGCCTCTTCGTCGGCTGTGATCAAGCCACCACCGGACTCCGGCTAAGACTCCATTCGTTTGAACTAGGTGAGGGGGTGTTGGCGCGCGCTTCGAATCGAAAACGATGGCCGGGTAGAAAACCTCAATTTGAAGGGTTCCGGAGTATCTTGAGTGAATCGCGAATCGACAAGCTCAGTTCAACGAGACGCCATAATCGAAAGAGAGTAGAATCGCCCGAGGCCGTGGATATAAGGATAGTTTCTTGATCGGGGCTGGACTAGATACTCTCTCCGCATTCTGAAAACGCGGGACGCCAGAGCTTGAGCCGTGCTCCGGCCGAGCACCGACGAGCCTTTATCAGAGCCGAGCTTCTCGAGCCGCTCACAATCAACCGTCTTTAAGAGGATTTGTGGCGAATACCTCGCAGAAGAAAGACATTTGTTGCGCCCCGGAGCGATGGACACTCCGAAGTCAACAATGCTCGAACTACCATTCGAGGTTAGTGCAAACGCTCTCGTGCCTGATATAGGTGTGACCGACCTAGTCCACGAAGACAAATACGAATCTTTCCGCAAATGTTAGAGAAAGGGGGAAATCATCCCGATCGGATACCGGCTCAAGACGGAGACAGGGCACGAAGAGTTCCCGTATGTTCGCCGTCGAAGTTCCTCAGATAGCTCCGTACACTAAGAATGATCGCTTCCTCTCTTTAGCTGCAAGAGCAGATTCTGTCGCGAATGCACCCCCTGGATCGTTTGTCTTTCGGCTTGACCTGTCGTCGCTTAGCTGACCTCATGTACATGTCGAGCTACCTGAAGGAAATCCTGTTCGTCATACGAGGGGGTTCCGCAGAATTGTGCAAAAGCCTCCTGATGAGGAGTCGACGGAAGTATTGGAACCTCAAGGTACACCGAAGTAAGCATAATCCGCTGCTAGCAGGTACAGGAAATGGGTGAACCTAGCCTTGGGCACTGAACTAAAGGACTCCCCTCCCACAGCCGACTTGAGCGAGTTCGACGCAGAGTTCTGGTCGAGGGTCGGTGGTGAAATTCGTACTTTGGAAATTTATCGTTGCCGATGGTCGACCGCAAATCTTCATGCAATCCTACAACATTGCACGAACTTGGAATCTTTCGAGTTCGGAGGTAAGCGGTAAGGTCGTGGAGCGCCGCCGTCTCGAAAGAATACGGAGAGTCGCTCGGGAGAGAGATCATCTATCTTCTGAGAGCGAGCGATCATAAATCTCAGGCCGGGATTCACAGCTCGAAGATCCAGTCACGCCGTCTCTCATTCCACGAGATATGATTATTTTCAGGTTGGCTTCCACTCGCTCTCCAGGTCGAGGCTCCTGACAACGTCTACCTGATGTCAGCGGTCAACATCCGACATCTACATCTCGACATCAGTCTTACGGTGGACTCACTTGATCGCTTGCTTCAATGGATGCCCAAGTTGACGTCTGTGTCTTTGTCCCGGCTCCCCGTGTTGAAGACTGGAGAGACCCTACGCGACATCCCCAGCATATTAGAGTCTCAACAGAGATTGACGAGGCTGCAGATGACCATAGAAGGGGTGGACGATTCGGTCGCGATCAGGCTCGTGAAGAAACACTCGACTTGTCTCCGAGAACTGCGCATGCATTATAGGTATCGCCCAACGGAAGGGATGATGAGTGCAATCTGTGAGTGTGAGAAGCTGCGCATCCTTTCTATGCAGGGGGTCCGCGGCGAGATTTGGCCTGAGAGGCTGTTTTCCGAGTGTCCTGATTTGGAGACTTTGGATGTCACACTGATAGGCGCGACTGGTCTCTGCCACCGCATGGAGCGTCTGAAGAAGCTCCGTGAGCTGAGACTTCCTTCTGATACGACCCCAGACTGGGCTGGCATTTCGGATTGCCTCTCGACTCTGAGGATGATGGAGGTGCGGCTTATTCCTGACAGCCTCGAGCAGTATCAAAACCTTTCCCGCTTTAAAGAACTTCGAGCTTTGACCCTGAGCGGCGTGGAACCGACCCCCGAATGCTTCGCTGTGCTGGTAGAGAATTTGGACAAGCTGGAGCAATTCGAGCTCGAGTGCGAGAATCTCACCGACTCGGACGGGGTCAAGTTCAATCTCCTTAGGAATTTGCGGAGGTTGAAGCTCAACAGCGCCTCTGGCTTCACGGACGTGACGTTCGAGAGCGGTATCGGGTCGCCGGCGCTCGAAAAACTCGCCTTGGAATGTTGTCTCCTGAGCGACGAAGGCCTCGCGAGGATAGCTGCTCACCACCGTAAAATGACCGAGATCGTTCTCACAAGTTGCAACGCTTTGACGGACGATGGGGTCCTGAATTTTCTCCAACGAGAATATACCCTGCGACGTCTCGCACTGAACAAATGCGCCGCACTCACGGAGGGCACTGTGAGCGCTGTCGCGACCGTGTGTCCCAGACTCCGGTCTTTCCGCTGGATTTCTTATCCAGGATTGAGCAGAGAGACGGTGACCCAATTCGTGCAGAGGAGACCAGAAATCGAAATTCTTGAAATTTGAAGCACGGCTGGTAAGGAGGCTCTCTCCATCCAGACTTTGTGTCGCGTTCGCGGGAGCTCTGAAGGTTCTTTTGCTCACCCCTCTTCCTCCTTCCCGACGACAGATGAAACCTCTTCCGCTGCAAACTCGAGTTCCTTGTATTGATATAGACTGATTAGACGATCGGAGCTTAGTAGTTGAGCTCTCGCACCAATCGGTTCCCTTGTTGGGAGCGGAACCGTTCGTCCAGCTGATTTGAAGCTGGCTGTCGAGAGCTTTTTGTCTTTCGTCCTCGTGACGAGTCGTCCCCCAGCATCACGTAGCTTCTTCATCGCACGACTCGGATGAAAAAATGGAAACCTCAGAGCAGCGTCGATGGCTGCAATCCTTCTCCCACATCCGCGACGCCCTCACATTACACATCCCTTTGTGCCGGATCGAAACATACAAGCGCAAGACGCTCGAACATGTACACGCAAGCGAGCTGAATCCCTCATTGTTACTGCTATGTGTCGAAATAATCTCCGTGATGGCTTCCTCGAGCCCTTGCGAAAGGGGTGAGTCCGAGATTCCCGCGGGGAGGTCAAAACAACATCGCGAAGATTTTCGCCTCCAGGTTCTGCATCGGCGAGTGCACAATGTTCGCAAAAGGCTTGAAAAATCTCCGGATGGATCCGACAATCGAGCTATTCTCCGCATGACTGCTTCCCTGGAGATCCGTGAGCTGAGAAGACTATTGCAGAGACTTTCCTTTCTCCTCAAGCAGAAGAGCTTGACTCGAGAAGATCGACGCACGGTGACCGTCGAATTCTTTCATGCGGTGGAGCAACTCAGCCTCAAGTGTCTACAAGCCGTGCACAACTCTCAGACGGATCTTTTCTCGGACTTAGAAATGATCTTAGAGGACCTATCGGAATCCTTCATGCTGCTCGAGAGCGACCCCTACCCTTTCTCTCATAAATACCTGAGTGATGTTCAAGCTTCCGCAATCATATCACGCGACCTGCTAAACAAGCGTTAATCTGCGGCATTTGTTCTGCCGACGGGAGACATATAGTGAGGTGACAGAGTGACGATCTCGGAGGGGAGAGAATTGTTCCTTCGCTCCGTCGGAAAGAACTGATCGAACTGACCTCGAAATCAGACGCATCAGTACGTGAAAGAATCATCAATCACTGCATGTAGCTTTACCATCAGACAGCTCGGAATTGGGATGGTTGACTCAAGGCTCGATAAAGAGCTGGAATGGATCGGGAGCGGAAGCATGAACAGATGTTCCGCGGATTTACTATATTTTCGCTTCTTGACCGGAGATTTTAATAAATGTCTCCTCACGCCCGATCGCTGAGGATTTAGAGAGGGAATTCGTCCCAAGACCAAGAGCTCTTCATTCCCTCCGACAGACCGACAAACAAATACCTCGATCAAATCTCGAACAATTATGCATCGATCGTACCGCGAGCATGTTTAGGAGATTATGAGTCCTCCTCCAGTAATCCCGATGCGCGGTCAGGTACTCTGCTTTCGAATTTTCCGCCAACCGTGGCCGAGTTGTTAGCAAGAGTCGGGACAATATTCCCGGAGTTTCGGGATAATGCACGCGGAGACCCTCCCGCTCTTCTCCCAGGGAACCTCCCCTTAGAGGTCTCTGGCTAAGTGAGAATGCGCCGGAAGCTTCTGAATCCCGAATCACACGTTTCCGAGGGGCGAGGTCAGCCGTATTCGTGACCGATAATCACGGGGAGAACTCCTTTCGGAGGGATAAACAAACATGTCTGCCCTCAGTGACTAGCAGACGATTCAAAGCTCAAGGCATCGAAAGCTGGGCGCCGCACCTCCAGCGATAGAAAAAACAGCCCTGCAAAAGAACGCCGTAGCTGGCAACACAGGGCCTCCTGCCGTGGAATGGCGCAGGTCGGAGTGGGCAAATCTGTTGGTGGAGGAGATCAGCACGTAACCGAGGAACTCAAACCTCTGTCGATCCCTGTCGTGCCGCAATCACTACAGCGCACTCAGCGTGAAGACCTGTATTACGGACAGCAGCCGCAGAATGGTCGGGGAGTTTCGATGACCAGCCCCGCGAATTCGCTCGGTACCGAGAGCCTCGTTACACCGAATACGACTCCCGAACCGAGTGGATCGCCGCGAACTCTCGACCAGGAACCCTTAGTTTTACCACCGCCCTCTATTAGCACCCCTTATGACAGGTACGTTGAACAATACCCGAATATCGTTTTGGCTGAGGCGCCTGAGGGATTCGTACGCAACCGATTCACGGACCGTCGCGCGCTCTCTTGGATTATCGGGGATTTTATTTCGTTATTCTTGCGTACGTCCGACAGACAAAATGTCGCCGAGCGATTTCGCAAGACCCGTCGCCATAGTTGGCTTTTTGTTTTGTTGCTGCTGCTGCAGCGACTGGTTTAGTGGGCCGCCGCCGTCGTCGTCGTGGAGTAGAGAGCTCGATGCTTATGATGTTGTTATTGTTTTGCTCGACTCGGGCCCCATCGATGTATCCATGACTTCTCACGAGTTTCTTCCCTTGTCCTTGTATCGCTTCGGGGAGAACGGCGATTATTCAGAGGATCGCCGACATGACTCATGACAACAGGCTGTATCCGTCGCCGGTCGGCACGGACGCCGTATTCGTCGATTTTGCGAGTTCGTGTGCTTCCGATGCTGTTTCAGCTGGTTGGCCTGGCTGCCGCCTTAGCATCTATTCTGCTTCCGAGTCTGGGCGAGCGAGCGAACGATAGAGCGAACGATAGAGCAAGGCAGTCCGTCCGTCTATCTACCAACCCACTGCTAACGCACGGTCTGCCCGAGCGCTGCATCCAAGAGCACCGTCGCTCGGCTTCCGCTTAGTCATCGCTGCTTTCGTTTCGTAGACAGCCTCTTTTTCTCAGCTGGAGCTGTATCTAATAATTGCTGCGAGGACAATAGCGGAATTTTCATCCCTTTCGAATCTACTGGTTAGGCCTATCCTAGGTCAGAGCAGGGGAAAGTCTGTATGAGCTTCTTGCCCCAAACAGATGACACACTCGCACAGCATCCCGCAGACAGTGACTGCTTATCGGTCGGTCGGTCTGTTTGTGCGTCGGTCGGTCGGACGAACGGCTGGTCTTCCTTCCTTGCTCTCTTCGAACGGACGGACGAGCGAGCGAGGGAGCAGGCGAGCTAATAGCAAAGAGGCTGAGAGCTAATGCTTCTCCGACAACCAGGGCAAGCCACAGAATCTAGGCCTAACCCGCTCTGGAAACCCATCGCGTTCGAGCTGTTGGTCCCCAGATGGTATAGACTTCCGGGGAGGCGGGACGAAGCCCCGCTCGGAAGCTTCGTTTCGGGTGCTTGAACTCCGACGCGATCGTATCCTCAGTCGAGTCACAGCGAGCCATTGTCACATATCAAGATGTTGTCACGGCTCTATCAGCTGCGATTGTTATTATTATCCACCGAGTCCGAGGTCTAACGATCCTCCGAAATACTGTCCGCCACGCTACCGTACGGTACGCGTCGCTCGCTTGCGCAGTGCCTGTGGCGATGCCGCGCTGTCCGCATATGATCCGAGGCTGAGTCGCTGTCGCTCCCTCCGCTCGTGGGAATGAATCAGTACTTTGACGTGACTCAATTTTCTTTCAATTTCTTATTCCAGGTATATGCAGGCTCCGTCTATGAACGCGCCACCGTACATGGCATACCCGATCTACTCCCAGCCCGCAGTGTATCTGGTTCATCCCCACATGTCGTATATGCCACACCCAATGGAGCCGATGCACGTTTCGTACGACATGTCGGTACCACCGCCAAATCTGGGCTACATGCCCATGGGACCCCACTTGTTCTCGGGCTCGATGTGTAAACTGTCCAATCCGCAAGAACGATACTACTCGTACGAGCAAACTCCGCCACCGATGACCGCATCTCCTGTCGGGGGCGTTGCTCCCCATCTTCCTCAAGTGCCTCAAAGTACCGAAATTTCGATGACGGGAACTCAGGGACCTGAAACACCCAGTTCCGATTTCACTGCGACTGATCAACTCTTCCCCCGGAGCGTCGATGATCGACAGCTGGATGGCGACTCGACCCTACAGCCGACCTACGGGTCAGCCGAAGACGAAGTCGCCGAAATCACTGAACTCATCGACGAGGTTCAAATCTTCGATGCGGACACAACACCGTCTACCGAAACGCTGAATAACGTGGATCGTTGGTACGAAACCATGACCGAGCAACATCACGCCGCCACGGACGACAACAAGAACCCGGAGTCCGGAGAGTCGGAGGTCCAGAGGATTTCCTGCATTCAACAGCCAGCCGCAGGGAGCGGTCTCAGCCAGCCCCCCGAGATCAACAACAATGCCCCGCACGATCGGCGTCCGCGTGCCACATACCACGCGCAGCGAGGGAATCAAAGATACCCTTCCGTCAGTCAACGGGACAGAAACTTCCGTGAATCCTCTAATGGTCGGTACGACCATGACAGGAGGAGTGAAACTCCCGACAAACGCAATCGCACAGGGAATCCGAATTATCGGGGACCCCCTCGGGACGATCGACGTTTCTCCAACCCGGAATACGGTAGCCCGGATCAATACCGATCGAAGCGCTCCCGAGAGTTCAGAGGAGACTTCGAGAACCAGGGTCCCGCGTCTCGAGAGAACTCCGCCGTGCGTAGGGGGGATAACCGCCAGCGATACTACACCTCGCCCAGACGGGATGAGGAGCTCAATCGCTACGACGGCAACGTTCGCCGCTCTGGTTCGTACCGAAATCGTTGGCGAGACGACTTCAACGGGAACCGGAACGAAGAACCGCCCAAGTCCGTTCCTAGAAGTCGACCTGAACGCGATCGAACGGATTCAGCACAGCGAAACAGTCGCCGACCTCCGGTGGCCGCCCGACAGAATGAAGGACAGCGAGGCCATGGAAAGAACGCGTCGCGGCCTCGTGCGTCGGACGAGGATTCTCTGGAGTTCCTTCTCCCGTCAACGGTAGGCGTAAAGGATCCGCTGGACATGAAGAGCATGATCAGTGACAGAGCCGTTTCCATGGATTGTATTGCTAGTCAGAAAGCCCCGCACCCGTCGTCCAGGGACCAGATCCCGGGACCGGCTGCGGGAAGGAAGGCGAACAGACGCGTGGAATGATGCGAGCGCTCTACGCGAGCAAAGGCGAGGAAAACTGATAGCGATTGATCAGGCGGAAGTTTTGCATGACTGCGTGACCGCGTGCGAGCGTGCGTGCCCATGTGAGATGAGGACTAATGCAGCGTAAACCAAGACGGAGTGTGATCCGGCTGGGATCGGTGGAGGATCGCATATGATGATCACGATGATGATCGGAGAATGTTGAAGTTGAGACACCGAGTGATAATCGATGGCTGCGCCGCTTTTTGGTACAGTCGCTTTTGTGTGAGGGAGTTAATAGTTAAAGTAATATTATTATTATTAATATAGTTCAGTATATACACACATCTTTTTGAAAGCACGATAGCATACATGAAACTACCAGTAGAGAAAAAAAGAGGGAACATTTCACAAGCATAAACATCTTACAAAGGACAAATCAATCACGGTCCGCCTGATGTGGTTGGTCTCTTCGAGATCGTCAACCTTTACATATACTATTATAACCACAAATGCCTTTCCTGTTGTTGCCTCTCAACATAATGTCTGAACTCCCATTGATCTGTCCTCCCTCCCTACTTCGAGAGAAATAGAGGATTAGGAAGGTGACAGGGATTATACGTCCTCGGCCCCCCAATGTGGAGGAGAGCGGTGTCATGGTACAAGGCCGATTTTCCGAAAACGTTTCCCCGCCCCCCTTTCCTCCGGCTTCCGGCCTCGCCTTTCAGGTCCGGCGGTTTTCCGACGTCGAGTCCCTCGTTGAAACACGAACGAACACTGACGAACAGACACGCAGGCTGCCCGATAGTTGAGAACTGGTAGGTCGATCGGACAAATTCATCTGCCGTCACACCCGGAAAGCTTCAAGCTAACGTAACGCGTCATCCTTCCTGTTTTCATCAGTTGTTGTAGCAGTCCATTAGTCCAGGCAGCCGCGTTCAAAACGACGCAAGATTCGCGACAGAAAGACGAACATATCGGTCTTCACAACTTCTTTTACACGGTTGTCGCTAATGCGAACCCTGGCCAATCACATCATGAATTCCCCAATGATTTAGGCTATGGGCTCTACTGACAGCTTTAGGCGAGGCTCACCCACCTAGCTTTCAGGCTGGTGGGCTCTGGAATTCCTCCGCAAGACACTTTTCTGCTTTTTCACGAGCCAATCATCTGAATGAGCTGGGAATTGTCCGATTAGGAGCGAGTTGAGGACGACGACGGTGCGCTTGTTTTGTGCCGGCAGGGGAGCGATATATATATATATACATAAGTATATACAAATTATTATGTAGGTGTGTGAGTTTGAAGAGAATGGTTGAGTGAACCGTAATAATAAGCGTCCGATTAAGGAGGACCGGTCTTAACCACATGAGCTGTTTTCTAGCGAGAGTTTCCTATGCCGGCTAACGAGAAGTCCGAGGTTCCGCTGTCGAAGAATCACGTGTCTTTATGAGAAGAATTCCCCTTATTTTCGTTTTTTCTTTTCAAGAGAGGAGGAAGCAATCGAATTGCAAACTATTGAATGGAGAAGGGGGGATAGGAGCCCGATTGATAATTCGTGACGACAAATCTGAGCACACGGCTGGAATATGATTTTGTTGACGATCTAGCTGGCCCTCGATTTCTTGGGGAGCAGAAGCTCTCGTTCGTGGGCGGAGAGCGGAATTCGATTTGGAAGGGAGGGACATGTACCTAATGGCTGGGCTTGGGCACCAAGTTACAATTAGTCGCTTCCTATTACTATTATTATTATCAATCTGCGTATGTTCGGATTTCGCGATTTCTCGTCGACTTAGTCGCAGCGATAGGATCGATTCCACACTAGGATCAAATGGGCTCTCGAGGGAAATGAACGCGCATTGAACTTCTCCACGATATAGTCCGGTTGTTGAAGTATCGCCCATTGTGAGCAAGGTTGATTGTGAGTGTTTGACGCTCTCGGCGAGGGTGTTTTTAGTCTGTTGTGCATTTTCGGAAGCCATGAATGATGCTACACATTTAAGGCGAGCATGGAGCCAGGAGTTCGGTCGATCGAGGGAGTGACGTCGACTTCTGCGATATACAGAGATATCTAGATTAACATAGGAATAAGCGAAACATGCAAAGAAGTGGTTTTCAAACAGGATTGGCGAAAATAATCCAGGAATTCGAACATAGATCCGATAATCGTGAGCTCCGGGAAACGGAAGGAAACAAAGATGCAGCCGGAGAAAGGGGAGGAAAACGCTCCCAACCAAAGTGGGGGATCATTGCGCTCACCTTGCGATGGGAGAGCTCAGCGGAAGCTTCACAGTAAGATAAGTCTTCTGATCCCATAGCCGAGTGAGTCTCGCGAATCATCGTTCCGAAATCGTGGGCGGTAGCGGTCATGGCTCTCAGGGAAGGGAGCCCGTCAGCTCCGATCTCGACTCGGGGCGCCGAGTGCTAGATTCGTTGGGGGCGTGAAGGAGTCTCTATGTCATAAAACCAATGCTGTTGATATCAACTATCGGGTGGAATATCCTAAAGAAGCTCTTGTTTGCGACGTCTATTTTTCATACATCGAGGTGAACTATCAGCTAATGAGAAAGAGAGATCGTTACATACACAGGATTCCTTGCTGAATCGTATTACGGAGGTCCTCTTCCCCTAATCCTCTCTAGGATGTCAACATGTCCTTCTCTTCGATCCCCCCACGCTAACCGAGGTTCATCCTGATCCCATACACTCATCTCGATTGATGATCGTCAATAATTTTCGAAGGATAAGAACGGTGTTCGGCTACTCCTGAGAAGAATATGAAGGGTATTCACGGGGGACTTCCCACGTCCTGGAAGTGAAAGATTGGAAGCGGAGCATGCTCTTCTCGAAAGGGCTCTGAGCTGAGTGTCGTGGATGATGTGTAAGAGTCCTCTCTGAGTCGGGGGCATCAGAAAGCTCGCGAGTCTCTGATGGAATGGAGTGTCTTGGTTTCGAACGAGTAAGAGAAAATGAGTGAATGGCTCTTGATTGTTGTGTCGAGTTCAGCAAGATGAAACGATAATGTTTGGTCCGGAGAATTGGTTCCTTCCGGCCAAGACTGAAAGATCAATCAGATGGAGCGGATATTTATTCGAAGTTCTTAGATAATATCTTGAAGGCGAGCACGGCATCTCGATGATGAAGAAACATTTCAATTAATAAAACTTCTTCGAAAAAAGACGCATGCGTCCTCAATGAACCACGAGCGCACTCACGGAGCTAGCTTACGCTACCGCGCTAAGATGCAGGTTTCTCATCGCCCCTTTCTGGGAATACTTCTCCGAATGCAGAATTCGACAAGCAAGTGGGCTCCTGCCACATCCAGGACCCGAAAAAGCTTTTTCTGAATCCAAACCAAGCTAAATTCTCTGTTCAGGGGGGAGGGGAGTAATGGCAACACCCATTCGGAATTCCAACCGTTAACTCCATTCCCGACGAGAGAGGTTCGAAGAGTTTCGAGTTTTCCGGTGCGAGAGGAAACGCAAGGCTGTGCTTTCGTAGGGTGAGGACTCTGCAGGGCATGCCGTTTCATTCGAAGCTCCGCACCCCTTGGGTGCCGAAATTCCAGGCAACTGGGTAGGGAAAGCGCCAATATCAGTGCGCTTCCCGTAGTGGAAGATCTTTTAATATTGAGCCCTGAAGACGGAGACCCGGGGCGATCGATATAGATCCCGGCAGCTTCTCTCCGCATCGATCTCCGCGCGCCTCGCTTGTAGGCAATAATAAGCGGAGCTTGATCAATACACCGGCTGCAGATACGAGAGCCGCCTCCCGCTTGGTAAGTCACCGTTCTAAGTTACATTGAAATCTTTGATGAGCGATCACACCAGATGCGATATCCATTGAAAAGATAACAAATCAGCGGAGCTTGACAAGGTGCCGCTGCTTGATCAAGACGCTCAATCTCCCAGACTTGAGGTCGGAAAAATGATCCGGCGGAGGCTTCTCCAATGCATGGAGAACCTGGCATTTTCTTCAAGCCAGCTGGTCTCATGCCTGATCCGTGCCACCAGATGCTGCCGAGAATCTTGTTTCGAGGTTCCCGGATAAGACTGAGCTGGATCATCTTATCCGGGGTCTTCAGAATCGGGGAAGCTTGCTCCGAGGGGAGGAGAACGCTAGGGGAAACGAGTATAAGTAGAGCCCAACCGGAAGAATTCGATTTCGAGTTTTTGTTATTGCATGCACACAGTTCCCAGACTTCTCGAAAGCAATATCTCTTGTCGATACATTGAGGGGGATCCGCTTCAAGATCTAGTTTATTCTGCTGGAATTATTCCTCTAGCTTCTTCATCAGATCGTTGCAGGTTCATAGCCAGTTGTACTGCATTGACAATGTTCATCGGGCAGGAATTGTAACTCAAAATACATCCTTGATGACCATGTGTCCGCGTCAGCCCCGGAGTTTCGTTCTCACCGAGAAAGTAGTCCCAAACATTGCTGAAATCGGGAGAATCAGGACAGAGGTTCTCTCGTTAGGGAGTTATGGTCACACATAGTGAAATCAAGCGGGATCTCTCGTTGACGACTCGGGATATTCGATCGTAATGGAAAAAACTTACTGGAAATGTCGATATAGGCTGCCCGCGTAGGTCTCTCGAAGCTCTCCTTGAGTACTGAAGTAGCAAATCACTTTCAAGGCGCACCGAGATTTGCCGAATGAGAAAGTTCGCTGGAGCACCAAGTCCTCATCTTCTGCGGTCGCGTTCAGGATGATCTCACCGGTGCTCTCTTCTCCGCCGAGAGAAGTGATCGGATCCGGGGAGTCTATAAATCGTTCTCATTCGTCAAACTCATCATTGAAACGAAATAGAATTCGAGGAGCTCCGAGGCTCTAGAGACTCACCAGGAACAGCAGCGTAGTTAGAAGTTCCAGTTTCATCGTGGGATCCAGGATTCGGAGCTGGCCGCGCTCCTCCGAGCGCAATGAGAAGAATCAGGGCTGAGACCAGAAGCAAGGAATGCGGCATCGTGATTCACTATCTGACTCGAACGGTATTGATTCCTCAACTCGTGGGTGCACAGTTTCGCCCTGCGTCGTAATCCTTGGGCTTCCACGCGCTTGAGGAGGAGAATTGTCTTGGTATGAGAGACTCCCAAGCGTTTGGTCGGAGTATAATGACGCGTGTGAGCTTTGGCTTACATACCTACGAGAATAGAAGTCCGGACTCAAGGCCGTTGGAACACCTTGTCCGTGGATGTGAGGCGAGTGACAAACTCGAATCACGGCGTCCTTACTTGTCTTGGAGATAGAGTAGGCAGACACGAGAGACAGCGGATGATCAGAAAGGATAGCTCTTCACAACCCTCGCCATAATTGCATAGAGGCATTTCGGAATTGGCTCAGGAATTCCGGAAACTCCCATCCGCGCTCAGGAGCCCTCCGCGCGATCGATGGGACCCCTTTTGAAAGGTTCATTGTCTTTGTTGGATCTCGGGTCTATTTCTATTGAGATAAGGCAAGCGCGAGAGCATGCGACTCCGGGTTGAGCGGAGACGGGCGTTTCGGGCAGTTGCGGAAGTTTTGGTTGAGAGGTCTTGAGGCGTTCATCCGAAGAATTTGTGAAGAGCGGGAGCCTGAGCTCCTCCTTCGAGGGATGCCCAAATGTCTTTGCACGAGAATATATGTAGATCACCGGGAAGTGGAATGGGTGCATCAACATTACTCGAGCGAATCTCGAGCCTCGGAATCTGCAGGCGAACCTCATTCTGCTCTAGTCTGAGGTCTCTGATGCAGGGGTTTCTACAGAGGGGTCCTAATGAGGCTCCGACAGGAATGCTAGCAACGCCTGGTTTCACAATGGGTATCGCGGAGCGCACCCATCATTCGGAGAACTACGGGGCGTTCATCCGAGCCCAGGAGGAGTAGCAAGGAGATATACTACGTATTTGCTCCGATTGATTGGATATCGGCTGATGGAACGCGGAGCGACGATTCTAGAGGCACTTCAAGAATCAGACGGAAATTCCGTCGAATGATCTCCAGTCCCTCCTCATCTCCATCGATCCGAGTCGAGAAGGAGCAGCGAAATATGGTCGGAGAGACCATCAAGCAACACATGAGGTTGGAAGCCCTTCGGAGATGAGCAGCATCCTGTAAATCGCGGACCGAAACCTAGCGACCGAGGTCGTAGATGTGGGCGGGTCCGGCTCCCGAAATGTATGAGAACTTTCGAGAAGACGAGACCTTCCGAAATGGCTTTTGTGCGGCTTCGTTTCGCTTTCAACTTCGACGCATACTCAACCGACGGCAACGGAGCGGAGGGATCTGATGGTCGAGACCTTCCTCCCGCGCTATGCGAGCCTCTTCGCACGGAGGCCCGAGCTAGAGCGGAAGATACTTTATGTTCAAACTGAAGGACCAAAGCAGCTGACGGAGTTGTGTTGGAGGTATGAAAGCTTTCGCGTCTCATATGTCGGCTTCAGCTCATGGAACGGATGGACGAGCCAGCGGCCAGGCTGAAACTCCAAGGGATGAGCAATAGAATCGATGGACATTATAGTTTCTCATCCAATGAGGCTTAAAGAAGATTCGTCGATTACATGTGAACAAGTCGCCCTTATTTAATGGAAAGCCTTCACTTAATGTACGATATCGACAGATTTCTTTTTTACAAGGCAGTTCCTCTCTCCAAATTGAGTTTGGTTTCCTTCGTGTAATCTCCATAGAAGCGTTCAAGTTTCTTGTTGAATCGCTGATTGCGTTCGTTGATGAAATCAATATCCGCGTCGGGATCGAATTTCCTCCTCCGAGAGAACTTCTCTCGTTTAGCGGCGATCTGATACGTGGCTTTGGCCAACCTGCAACGCAAGAGTACTCCGGAGTGAATAACTCGAAACACACTGAAGACAATAGTTTTTACGGGTCATTCAATATTCGCCGATTGAGCGCACCTTTCCAAAGCTTGAGGAGAATCTTTGTGCGTTCCATGAATCATCGTGTCCGCAGTTGGGAAAAATGCTTCACCCATTTTCTCTTTTTTAGCTTCATAATCTTCCATGTCCGGCTTCATCTGATCCACAAGCGAATTGTATTGACGAGCTGTGGCAGCTTCAAAGGACGAGAACCCTTGATCTGGGTTTCGTTTTCGTTTCTTAGCGCGATCCAGACGGTCAGCCTCCATTGCCGACACTCCTCGTAATTTTTCCATCTGTGAAAAAGAATCGCAAGACTTAACTTTTGAGCCGTTCCTCGCGTTTTATCGGATTCACAAGTCTTCTCCGTACTTACGTTGTAGTCACACCCTTCCTCCCTCGCCTGAGCGGCTTTCTTATCTTCATCTAGAGCGTACTGCGCCCAGTACTGCTCCTCCTCGAAGTTTTTCGGGAGCTTCGCTTCACGGTCCTCCTCCACGACTTCCTGCAATTCGGAAGAATACGGAATCCGATTGAAGCTCCCGAAGGAGGAGTTCTGTCCTAATGTTCCGTCATGATGTTTCCGACTCGTCGACCTACCCTGTGGTTCAATTTAGATGCTTCGCTCTTCTTCATGTGTAATGCCCGCAATCTCTCCATCCGCGCTGCTTTGTCCGACAGAGCTTTGTCCCCGCTCATCGATGGTCCTGCGGTCTCTGACATCCTTCTATGTCTGCCAAGGGGAATCGGGTAATCTAAGACTATGAATTACACAGCGTATCTTCGATTCGAAGTGGAGTACTCATAGTAAAATTCGACATCGACTCTAGGACCTCAAGTCTTGAATGCAATTCTCAATACGAATACTGGAAGCCTCGACGGTGTCGACGAGATGTGAACACAACTCGAGTGTCGAACGTAATAATTCCTTTTCTCTCGACGCGAATCAGGGCTGAGACCAGAAGCAAGGAATGCGGCATCGTGATTCACTATCTGACTCGAACGGTATTGATTCCTCAACTCGTGGGTGCACAGTTTCGTCCTGCGTCGTAATTCTTGGGCTTCCACGCGCTTGAGGAGGAGAATAATTCTCCTCCAAGACATACCAAGACAGTTATTGTCTTGGTATGAGAGACTCCCAAGCGTTTTGTCGGAGTATAATGACGCGTGTGAGCTTTGGCTTACATACCTACGAGAATAGAAGTCCGGACTCAAGGCCGTTGAGACACCTTGTCCGTGGATGTGAGGCGAGTGACAAACTCGAATCACGGCGTCCTTACTTGTCTTGGAGATAGAGTAGGCAGACACGAGAGAGCGGATGATCAGAAAGGATAGCTCTTCACAACCCTCGCCATAATTGCATAGAGGCATTTCGGAATTGGCTCAGGAATTCCGGAAACTCCCATCCGCGCTCAGGAGCCCTCCGCGCGATCGATGGGACCCCTTTTGAAAGGTTCATTGTCTTTGTTGGATCTCGGGTCTATTTCTATTGAGATAAGGCAAGCTTGAGAGCATGCGACTCCGGGTTGAGCGGAGACGGGCGTTTCGGGCAGTTGCGGAAGTTTTGGTTGAGAGGTCTTAAGGCGTTTATCCGAAGAATTTGTGAGGAGCGGGAGCCCAAATGTCTTTGCACGAGGATAGATCACCGGGAAGTGAAATGGATGCACCAACATTACCCGAGCGAATCTCGAGCCTCGGAATCTGTAGGCGAGCCTCATTCTGCTCTAGTCTGATTTCTCTGATGCAGGGGTTTCTACAGAGGGGTACTAATTCCGATAGGAATCCTAGCAACGCCTGGTTTCACAATGGGTGTCGCGGAGCGCACCCAACATTCGGAGAGCTACGGGGCGTTCATTCGAGCCTAGGAGGAGTAGCAAGGAGATATACTACGTATTTAATCCGATTGATTGGATATCGCTTGATGGAACGCGGAGCGACGATTCTAGAGGCACTTCAAGGATCAGACGGAAACTCCGTCGAATGACCTCCAGTCCCTCCTCATCTCCATCGATCCGAGTCGAGAAGGAGCAGCGAAATATGGTCGGAGAGACCATCAAGCAACACATGAGGTTGGAAGCCCTTCGGAGATGAGCAGCATCCTGTAAATCGCGGACCGAAACCTAGCGACCGAGGTCGTAGATGTGGGCGGCTCCGGCTCCCGAAATGTACGAGAACTTTCGAAAAGTCGAGACCTTTCGAAATGGCTTCGTTTCGCTTTCAACTTCGACGCATCCTCAACCGACGGCAACGGAGCGGAGGGATCTGATGGTCGAGACCTTCCTTCCGCGCTATGCGAACCTCTTCGCACGGAGGCCTGAGCTAGAGCGGTAGATACTTTATGTTCCGACTGAATGACCAAAGCAGCTGACGGATTTGTGTTGGAGGTATAAACGCTTCCGCGTCTCATATGTCGACTTCAGCTCATGGAACGAATGGACGAGCCAGCGGCCAGGCTGAAACCCCAAGGGATGAGCTATAGAATCAATAGATATTATAGCTCCTCATCGAATGAGGCCTAAAGAAGATTCGTCGATTACATGTGAACAAGTCGCCCTTATTTACTGGAAAGCCTTCACCTAATGTACAATATCGACAGATTTCTTTTTTACAAGGCAGTTCCTCTCTCCAAATTGAGTTTGGTTTCCTTCGTGTAGTCTCCATAGAAGCGTTCAAGTTTCTTGTTGAATCGCTGATTGCGTTCGTTGATGAAATCAATATCCGCGTCGGGATCGAATTTCCTCCTCCGAGAGAACTTCTCTCGTTTAGCGGCGATCTGATGCGTGGCTTTGGCCAACCTGCAACGCAAGAGTACTCCGGAGTGAATAACTCGAAACACACTGAAGACAATAGTTTTTACGGGTCATTCAATATTCGCCGATTGAGCGCACCTTTCCAAAGCTTGAGGGGAATCTTTGTGCGTTCCATGAATCATCGTGTCCGCAGTTGGGAAAAATGCTTCACCCATTTTCTCTTTTTTGGCTTCATAATCTTCCATGTCTGGCTTTATCTGATCCACGAGTGAGTGGTATTGACGAGCTGTGGCAGCTTCAAAGGACGAGAACCCTTGATCTGGGTTTTGTTTTCGTTTCTTTGCGCGATCCAGACGGTCAGCCTCCATCGCCGACACTCCTCGTAATTTCTCCATCTGTGAAAAAGAGTCGCGAGACTTGACTTTTGAGCCGTTTCTCGCGTTTTATCGGATTCACAAGTCTTCTCCGTACTTACGTTGTAGTCACGCCCTTCCTCCCTCGCCTGAGCGGCTTTCTTATCTTCATCTAGAGCGTACTGCGCCCAGTACTGCTTCTCCTCGAAGTTTTTCGGGAGCTTCGCTTTACGGTCCTCCTCCACGACTTCCTGCAATTCGAACGAATACGGAATCCCACGAAGGAGGAGTTCTGTCCTAATATTCCGTCATGATGTTTTCGACTCGTCGACCTACCCTGTGGTTCAATTTAGATGCTTCGCTCTTCCTCATCTGTAATGCTCGCAATCTCTCCATCCGCGCTGCTTTATCCGACAGAGCTTTGCCCCCGCTTATCGATGGTCCCGCGGTCTCTGCCATCCTTCTATGTCTGCCAAGGGGAATCGCGGAATCTAAGACTATGAATCACACAGCGTATCTTCGATTCGGAGTGGAGTACTCTTGGTAAAATTTGACATCGACCCTTGGACCTCAAGTCATGAATGCAATTCTCAATACGAATACTGGAAGCCTCTACGGTGTCGACGAGATGTGATCACAACTCGAGTGTCGAACGTAATAATTCCGTTTCTCTGGACGCGATACCCTCCTAGCAAGCTCCAACAGGGAGCAGAGGAGTAGTACTGACTAGTGTCGTCGGGAGAGTCACGTTGACCTCCGCAGAAGAAGTCCTGCAGCCAGCCTTCTATTCAAAAACTGCGGAAGAGCCAACACAGATTAACTTACCAGTCACAACTGATGATCCGGGAGTCAGAATGTTTCTGGAAGTCGATTCTGATGATCCTCGAAGAAGTAAACAATGGCGCAGCAGACGACTTCACGGAAGACTGGGGAGAGGGATGTGTCGGAGCGAGGGGAGACCTTTGAGGTTTCGAGGAATACATACTATGAAGGGATTGCGGATCCCGTCAGATCCTCAGGAGCTTCAAGAATCTGTAGCTGCCGGTGATATCCGTGGGAGGCATATTCGACTTCAAACCCGTGATATATATACGGTTACGGTTGAGCTCGGTGAGGATGCGTCGAGCTCTGACGGCGGGAATTTTCGAATCGTGAGCTTTCGGAGGATAAATTTTCTCAATCTATCGGAAGCGGTCCGAGCCAAAGGATTAATAAACAGGAACCATGAATTCGCAGATCCATCCCCAAGAACGAATCGACCGAGGGGAGTGATTCAGTCGGCGATTTCGACGGCACACAGTCGGGAGTTCGGGAGCAGAAGCAAGCATCAACGGCGGCAGCAGCAGCGGAAGCTGCTCGGATACGATGGTTCTGTGTTGACACAACAACATTCTCTTCTGTCTGTGTCTCAGCTGTGGCCCTCCGAAAGTGCCCCGATAGAAGTTCCGGCCGGAAATAATATAGCGGTCCTGAGGAGGATGATGTGAACGAAAATAAAAACGACTGTAGATCGGGACACTTCCCCGGACCCACCCACAATCTCCGTCGAGAGAGCGTGTTCTGATGCCTCAATTTCCTTCGAATATCGTTGGCTCTCAGTAGTGAAGTGAACGTTTATGCTCACTTGGAAATTCCCACGCTGATGAAGCGTCGACGGGTCCGACAGCTCTGACTAGACGTAGAGTTGAAGTCCGAAGAGGGAAACGCTGGCCGAGATGCTAATCGAAGACGCCGGAATCCCACCTGGAACTTTCGGCAACATCCGCTTTCTAGGCAAGTAATACTCCAGCAGAGAAGGCATGCTCAAACGGAGCACTCGACGGTCGCGACCGGTCTCGGAGAATGTTTTCGGGCGACCACAGAATGAAGATGCGTCCGATATTTGGCAGGCTCGTCATGTTCGATTGAGCTCTTCAGTTGGAAAAGCTTCGAACAACCTTGAAAAGTTCTCCCCTCCACTCTGACTGATCGATTAGGCCGGCGAACAGGGGCTTCATTCGTTATCAAGCTTCGCTATTGAAAATAATGCTAATGTACGAACTTGCTTGCAGATTCCGGTTTTAAAGGATCTCGCGTGTACTCCGCGATCGATGGAGGGCGTGTGGTTGCAGTTAAGATCATCGATTTGGACAGTTCGGTTGACGAGCTCGCTGAGGCCGAACGAGAAGTTCTCATACTGAGCTCGCTGAGGCACGCTCATGTAACCCGGCTTATGAGATCCTTCGTCAACGGTAATCCATCTGAGGATTCACTACGGGACAGGCGTCAGATCCGCTTTTGCTTTGGAACTCGTCTCGATGTTCTCCCCAGCCCCAAGCGACGACCAGATGATCGGGACCGACTCTCTAGTCATTCTTCTGCCATTTCAGGCCACTTTTTGTTGATCGTACAAAATCTGTACTCATCTCTGTCCCTATACCGATTGTTGGAAGGTGGCTTCCCGGACGGGCTCCCTGAGCTGGCCGTAGCCTTCGTGATTGGGGATTGTTTGATAGGATTGACGTATCTTCACAAATGCGGCCTCGTCCACCGAGCTCTAAGCGCTGCGCATCTGTTGTGCGATGATAAGGGTCGAATAAGCATTACAGGTGATTTAACACAGCCGCCTTCTCGAGTCTTTTCGTGATTTCAGCTCTGGATCTCTATCTTTCACAGGAACGTTCTTATGGGAACAGAAATTCCACCATTCTGACGGTTCTATCCCTCGACAGGAATGAGGCATTCAATCGCCATTGCTCAAGGTCTTTCACACGATTTCCCGTCTCAACACGCGCTCCATAACTTGCCCTGGTTGGCTCCGGAGATCCTTGCTCAGGATCTGAGGGGTTATGGCCGTCCATCGGATATTTATAGCTTGGGTATACTAGCTTTGGAATTGGCCAATGGGAAAGCTCCTTTCGCTGGACTCGAAGCCGAAAAAGTTCTACTCTACAAACTTCGTGATATTGTTCCTTCGTTGAACGCGTCCAAATGCTTCCGGGAGCCGTTCACGGATTTCACCGATCGTTGTCTGCAATATGAACCAGAAAATAGGTGAGAACTCCCCTCGATTTCTAGTGTTGACCTGTTGGTGAGCTATCATGAATTGGTACGATATGACGCATGATAGGGCAATAAATTAATGCTCCGCATTATCCCTTCAGGCCGACATGTATTGACTTAGCTCGGCACGTATACCTAAAACAGGTCAAGAAGTACTCGTCTCTTTGGAGATTCATTCATCCGCCGAAAGATATCAAGAGCATACAGGAGGTGAGTGACCGCGTGCGAGAATAAATCTCGGGCTTCAGGTCGCATGAGGTGCATTCTCCATCTTCCAAACATCTCCAAATTCCTTCCAGGCGAAGCAGAGTCCAATGAAGCATACAGCTGAAGGCGATAGGGCGACCCTTCGAGACGGTAATAGTTTATCGAATGATATTCATTGGAGTTGGGAGGATTCAGATAAGAGTTGATTGAGAGTGTTTTTTTCTGTCTGTCGATGAATGTTGTTGGAGTGAGGATAATCAGACATTAGACTGAAGTTATTGGCTCGAATAAATTTATATGTAAAACTCCGCCGATCAATTCCTTGCTTGGTCGACCGCGAAAACGTCGCGTGCCGCCGTAGAAGTCAAACGAAGAATTCCTGTTCCTCCTGGGGTTCCCCGTTTGCCTGGCCGAAGCGTCGCTCCGGTGCCCCCTGGATTCATCGTGAGCTTCCGAGAAGCACCGTTCTGTGATTTGCATACCGGGGAATCTGAAGACGCTGCTTTCAGGCCTTTCTAAACTTCCTCAACACGGCATCTGTTGATCCAAATCTCTCTTCGACCTGGGTACTGTCAGGAGCCTCATCGGACTCCATATCTGTCCTTTCGATGAAACTACTGTATCCGGGAGGGACTTTCATGACGAGAGCTTTCGGAGGCAGGACATAATTCGCTATTCAATGAGATATCCGGAGGAGGCTTGTCGTGGTGGCCGTAGAAGAGTCATTCAGATCAGATCAGAGGAACGTCAACTCCAGGGAGGCGTACTCGTCATCCGGATTAAATTCCTCTTAAAGACGAAAAATCGAACGTAGGTCGGCCTTTCAATTACGAAACTCGACGCGACCTCTTTACACAAGCAATCGATGCGAATCCCATCCAGTTTGGAGAATTCCTTTTCTCCCGGAGCTCCATAGCCAGGAATCGCGGACCGTTGAAAATTATGTTGGATATTGCAGCTATACCAGGTCATAGGTCATATCGAACCTGGTCCCGACTCCTCGACTGTCACCATTATTTGGGTCCGATCGAGCTTCGATTACAATGTCTCCTATATATCATCAATCATCATACAGCGGGATCCCATATTCATTTTTGCCGCCGAAAGCGAGAAGCAGGTCGACTATCCTTGTTGTGGATGATTTTGCAGCCGGCAGACGTCTTTTCGCGGGCCGAGAGGCTTGTTGTGGTTGCAGTCCTCTCTCACTCGCTCTTTCACACCAGCAACCCAAGTGCGTGCGTGCTTCTTCTGACTACTCGTGGTACTCTGTTGCTGAGCGTTGATTTGTTTTTACCGTGAACTCAGTCCGGCTTCTTTTACTGAACATGCCTCCGCAAAAGACAAAGGCCAAGAAGAATGTTCCCGCGAAGGTTCCTCCGGCGAAGCAGGTGAGGCCTCGATGATATACGCAGCTAAACGATAGAAAGAACACGAGACCCTGTCGACTAGATGAGTATATGCTCAGACGCGATGCGCGGCGTTCGTGTCGGCGGCAAGGGAAGGAAAAACGAAAATGGATAGACGATCAATCCTTACGATTGATCTTATGACAATTCTGTGATCTTCCGATTTGTGGCTTCAGAAGCCTTTCTCATTTTCCCATTTCGAACCGAATTCGCGAAACTCTCGACGACAGGAATCGGGACCGGCACCCGCGAAGCGAACACGTGTTCCGAATCGAACCTCGGCGGGTCAACGGAAACCCAGTCGGACCCTTGTGCGTGTAGAGCTAACCGACGTCGGAATTTCAGAAGAAACTCGCCCCGAAAGAGGTCTCCGAGGACGAAGATGATGATGATGATGAAGATATCGATGAAGACGATATCGATGAAGACGTTAGCGTAGGGAGCCTCGATGAAGACGAGGATTTGGACGACGAGGATGGTAGCGACGACCTCGATGAGGAGGAGGACGACGACGACGAGGACGACGAAAAGGAAGAAGAACCCATGGAGAGACCAGCAAAAAGAGCCAAACTGAACGGTAAAGATGATAGCCCAGTGAAAGTTGCAAAGAAAGAAGACGCGAAGAAGCAAAATAGGAAAGAGGAGAAGAAACAAGATGCTAAGGAGCAAACTAAGAAGGAGGAGAAGAAGGGAGAGAAAAAACCTGACAAGAAAGAAACAGAACCCAACCCCAAGATAGAGATGGAGGACAAGAAAACCGCAATCGGTCCCCTGAGCGAGGAGGAGACGAAAATGTAAGTATTTGAACATCAGAGGCCTAGTGAAAGTACTCTCTTCAGTACAGTGCTGATTCGTACATTTCCTCATGTAGGTTCGCGGCTAACTTCCGAGCCATGTCGGCGACATCTATCTTCGTCGGGAAACTGCCCGAAGATGCGACCGATGAGGATCTCAAAAAACTGCATCCGAGCATCCGGAGCATCAGACGGCCGATCACGAGGAAAGGACAACCGACCACATTCGGCTTCCTGAATTTCGCGAATAAGGTCAGTTCAATGATAATGTCGCTCACGAACCCGCTGAAAGAGGACCCCATAAATTCCGGTACAATTCGAAACCATTTTGTGAGTTGCTCAAGTATTAATTCATCTGAAACCCTCAATAGGAAATGGCCGAACGAGCCTTGAAAGACATCAAGAAAAAAGGCGTCGTGAAGATCAGAGGTCAGGAAGTTCTCGTCAGCGAAAACGGCAACGGACAATGCCACCCGCCTTCGATAGTCGATCGCCGCAAGTTGCGGATATACGGCTGCCCTAAATTCGTCACGGCCGAGATGATCAGAGCAAGTCTGCCTGGATGCATAAACGTGGTACTCGGTGACAAGGACAAGGGCAACGCAGTCGAAGCGGTCGCCGTCTTCAGAAGTTCGGCGGAGACGAAGAAGATCCTTCAAGCTCAGCAGACCGTCACATTGAACGAGTGCGTCTGCGCTCTGTTTTATCTCAATATTTCCTTCAACTGCAAACAGCACGAAAGGAGGAAGGAGAAGAAACTCAAGAAACTAGAGAAGATGCAGAAGGAGGATGGTGCAGCAGCTTCTGGAAGCGACGACCAAGACGACAGCGATATGCCGGCCGACAAAATAGTTAAATTCAAGAAAGAAAACGTCAAACCCCAAGTGCAATCTGCTAAGAAGGGCCAGAAACGAGCCGCTCCTCAAGACAGCGACGACGACGATGACGAAGAGAAGACGGTGGCGGCACCCACACCCAAGAACAAGAAAGTCTCACTGAAGTCCCCTCAGAAAACTCCTCTTTCGACCACCAAAGCTGCCAAGAAAACACCCATGAGGAAAGGTACTCCATTCAAGAAAGCAAAAACCGCCGCTTGAAGAATGGACCGAGAGGTTACGGCACCATCGAAGATAGATTTGGTACCGTTCGAAAAACAGGGGGAGCTCTTATCGGGAGCTCTTCGTTAGAGAGCTTCACGGAATATCTTGTGTGTACTCATCCGCTATTCCACTCTATTCCATACTGTCTACATTAAGAACTCTGGCTGACTTGACTATTCGAGCTCGAGCAGGGGTCAGAGAATACATTTGTAACAGAGAGCACATCTGAGTCGAATAAACTCCGCCATCAAGAATAATCCCCCCGAATATGAGCCTTGATATGACTAGTGGCTCCCATGATTATAGACCGAGAAACGAATGTTCGCTCGAGAAACTTTTCGGGAGTAGGAGTCTCGAAGGGGTAGACGCTCGACGGAATGAGAATAAGTCTCTGACGAGCAGCCCGAGAGCCTCATTTATTCGCTGGGCATCGATATACCGGCAAGCGGCTTCGATGATTTTCGTGGAGTCGGTGAGACACCGTGACTGCTTGGGATCACATCAGGATTGCTTCCTGATCCTGCTTCGCTCGAAATCGATTTTTGGGCGATTTCAGAACTCCACGGGCTTATGAGGGTCCCGAGAGTGAGTCTGGTAGTAATCCAATCCTTTTTTGAAAGCTCCAATATCTGTGATGAAGTTCTTCCCTTTCGTCTCTTTCGGAAGAAGAATTTTAAGGGGCGGGATCTCCATTTCTACGTCAAGGGGCTCCTCCGTGGCTGCCTGGTGTTTTTCCCAAAGCTGATCCCCACCGACACATTCCCTCAGAGCTTGCTCTCCGAATCCAACCAACTGAACGGAAAGTTTTCGGACACCTCCAGCGGGCTTGAGAACTCTCCTGGCCCAGCCGACGAACTGCTCGAGCTTCAGACTCTTGAGGAATTGCACCTCAATCTGGAGGATATCGAAGCAGTATTCGAAGGAATTGATTTGACTCCAATTACGGCGGTGCTCATCGTCCATGGCTAGATCGACGCAAGATTTCACCTGAACCAGAGATTCGCAAGCCGTTTCAAACTCCTCTTGCTCGAGGTTCTCGATGAAAGTCGCCATACTATCGAAGAATTCATCGATTTTCTCGTCGACGTGGCTCAGTGAGAACTTCGAGGCTGACGGGGAAGCGGAGACCGAGAAACCAGCGATCCCCCGCATATCGCACATCCGGAATGAAACATCGTATGCCAGCTGTTGCTTAGTTCTCAGCTCATCGAAGCATTTCTCGTCCATCAACATTTCGAGCAGCTGCATGAGCGTGCTCTCCTTCAAATGCACTTGACCGTACTGGTAGTAATTGATTATCCCGGAATTCTCGTCCTTTGGATTCAACGCCAGGAAACGGAGGTAGTTGCTGCCCTCGATCTTAGCGAGCGACTGGTGGAGAATTTTGTCCGCGGGTGCTGCATCGAGCTTCGATTCGATGATCTGTGCGAGCTGCAGAGCCTGCTCCGAAGTGGCATTGCCGTGCACGTACATTTCCACGAACGCACTCCGACAGGTTCTAGAGATCTGATCGAGGACGTCTTGCTTGACGACACTGTTGATCTTCTGTCTTCTATCCGAGATGGAAGTGTAATTTTTCCATAGAATTCCATGAGCGACCTCATCGACGTAGCGTACACCGAACACGATGTTGAAATAGTTTTTTCGAATGTCCTGAACTATCGTCCGGAGCTGCTCCTCGCTGAAGTCCAAGTGGACTAAACGGTCGACTACGGTCTCGAACAGCAATGGGAGTTTCTCGCTGAAGCCGCTGAAGAGCAGGGCCATGCCGGAGTCGGAGTCGCAGATGTCACAGCTCAACGAGGCCATCTCCGCATAATTAAATACTTGAGCTAGAACCTGTTCGAATATCACCACGGCGATATCTGTACACACTACGGCTTTGACGTCATCACGCGTAGCCTTAGTGATCATGTGAGCGCTTATATGGAGTTTGGGGACCCGGAACTTCTCGTCTTTACGGAACCAGAGCTTGTACCGCTCCCCGGTCCGTAGATTCGTCGGGAAAGTCTCGTCAGCGTACTTTGACTCTTTCACCAATTCGAAATTGGTCGATACGAAAGCGTTCGCTTCCGGTAATTCGAATCGTTTCTGGAATTCCGGATCGTCGACCCACAGTTTCTTCCACGAGTCGGGGAACTCCTCTATCTGGTAGGGCACAGCCATATAGGGTTCTTTCAATGGGAAGAGATTCGCGCGTTTCTGAAACTCTGTGTTCACGTACATGACGCAACATTTTTCGGGCGTCAAGAGATCCATGAGCTGCTGCAGCCGCGCCGGGTTGTAATCGAAGTAGAGCTCGTATCCACAGAGATAGTGCTCGGGGGGTAGATCTTGCATCGCCACGCAAAGCTCGGAAACGTAATCTTGGGAGGACATCTCTTCTTCGAAACGGAAGTCGTTCTCGGCGATCCCTTTCAGTTCTGCCCACAACCATTCCTGGGGGCCTTTCTTGCGCAGCATGCCGATGTATTGGTGGACGTAACGAATCACTTCGTCGATGTGTTTTGCGCCTTCTTCGGTCAGCGTGAGGTTGATTTCGAACATCGAATACATATCGTTCGAGTTGAAACCGTCCTCCTCGCAACCAGCCTCCAGCTCGATCGCCCATTGTTTGTTACGCAGATGATCGAGTATACTGTTCCGACCCTCATGACCGATGGCGTACCCGAGGTACTCCAGGTTTTTTTCTCTATAGTGAGGCTTCTGAGGAGGCAGGGGCCAGTGGAACGAGAGGATCAGAGCGTGTTTCATGGGTACAACTTTGAACAGTTTGAAGAAGTCGGGATTATCGGTGAATGGAATCCCTCGAGGGAATACGATTGGCTTGGTTTTCCGTTTCGGTATCGGGGAGAATGATTCACGGACGAAACCTTCCAGCTCATCCAGGGTGTGTTTCGATTGAACGCACAGCGTCATTTTGTCGGCAGAGTAGTAGTCTGGAAAGCGAAAATCGGGAACCGGTTACCAACGACAGAGGGTAGGACCGCGGAGGAACGATTCAGGGAGTTTCGGTGATTCGAAGAGCCTGGCTCGAGTGGAGAGACTATCGTCGGCGGAGTGTCCGGCGAATTATTCATTATACTCTTCGACATGAATTTCTGAGGGGGTATATCCTAACCACTAAATCCAACCAGTGGAGCTCCACCATAAATCGGGAGTCTCGATCTATCGTAGTATTGCGAGCTTCGAGGAATCGGGTTCGACTTGTGATTATCCTTCAGATCTCTGCGACTGGACATATCGCGTACTTGAATCAAAACAAGTCCCTCATAACTCACCATTCATGAATGTTCTGAGCTCTTCTCTGATGTTCACGCCTCGTTCTCTCGGGAGATCGCGGAGAGTCTTCAGATTTCCCCAGTTAAATCTTCCCAGGGGATGTGTAGGTCCTGCTTGACGAGCCAAAACTTCCGCGAGCCTACATTCGTCCCTCACTTGTTGCAATTGGAACTCGCTTTCGACGGCCATCACCTCCCTGGTAGCAGAGGGGGAAATCAGTCTCAGCGATCGATGGTTCCCATGCCGATTGAACATATGTATCTTTGTGAGAAAATCGTACCTCTCTAAAGAGCTCTCTCTCAGGAGTGAGTTGATGAAGAAATTCGCGAACATGTCCAAGGCTTTGGGGAAAGCAGCCATACTGACGTCTAAGTGGAAAACGGTGGCGTCAACATCGGTGTACGCGTTGTCCGATCCACCGTGTTGAGCCAAGAACTCAGAGTAAGCGTTCTCAATGGGATATTTCTCCGATCCCATGAACAGCATGTGCTCTAGATAATGTGCCAACCCAGGCAAGTGTGGGGGATCCTGGAAAGGGACTCTGGATGTGATTAAGGGAATACGGCCTAACGCCGTATCGATGACTGACTGTCGAACCGAAGGAGCTCACCTGGGAACTCCCGCAGCGGACAGCAAGTGCGGCTGCTGACATCTTTTCCTTCATGGTTGCAGTGGATTCGTCGTCAGAGCTTCCATCGTCGCTTGCGGCCTCTGAAGACACCGCAGACGACCCATCTGGAATGGATAGTCTTCGAAGAATCGCTCGGCAATTCGCGGAAATCCGGATCGCGCGAGGAGCTGATGCTGAAGTGGGCGGCTCGTTGAGGAGCATCAGCGGTGTTCTTATCCCAGGTCCCGGATTCCTCTGCCCCCGCCCTTCATACTCGACGCGGGAACCAGCACAATCCTGGCCACGGGACAGGTCCGCCCAAAATGCAGGATCTTTCCTCGCGATGCCAAGCTTCCATGAGAAGAGGAGTGCCTGCCAGCTGAATGTGGCGAACTCGCGCTCTCTCACGCCGGTAAGCACTTCCCTCGGTCGCCCGGTGGAGGACTGTTGCGAAACCTGAGGCCGCTTCGGGCATTCGCTCAATTCGGCGATTTCGGGACCGGTCTCGCTATGCCTAGCCCATAGTTGGCGTACATGAATCATGCTTCTCGAATACATCCGGATCGCGAACTCACCCGACAAACTATCCCATTCGTCTTCGGTGCCTCCAACAGAGCCACCGGAGCCAAGGCAATTTATGGACGACACCAATAAGGCTCGGAGACCGTTGTCTAACTCGATGAGACGATATAAACGCCTATCGTTCTCGCTTTGCAGCATTTGGACATTCATGATTCGGTGCTGTGGTGAAGACACGTTCGAATGTTTGTGCCTGGAACTGTAAAGAACACTCCGCCACCAGCCCAGAATCCGGCGACCGTGGCCTATCTTGATGGCTGGCTTAATATCTCAGATTGAGAGTGTGGAGTGGAATCATACGATTCCCACTTCATCTATGGGGAACCCGTCGAAGAAGTGCGGGTGGAAAGGCTAAACCGGAGCGAAATAAGTTGAGGGGAGAGAGAATTCGATGAATCCGATGATCTTTGCTGAAATTTCACGCGCTATCGGGCGATTCTCGACGTTTCTCCCAAGTGCGATTTCCCTTCCAAACGGGCCATTGCCCGATCACATCCGCAGGGAATGAGAAAGAACTCCATGCTGCACGAATTCAGCTCTCTGGTGGGAACCGGTGGTCGTGGAGCAGTCTCTTCAATTTCCATTTCCGCACCTGCAAAACTTCTTCCGCAAACAGGGCGTGTAAAATATCTACGCTGCTCTTTTCTGCCGCTCAGCGTTCTTTGTTCTTTCCCCCTGGCCGAGCTATACTGCGCTACCTCGCTTATCGAGGGTATGGAGTCTATGGAGTCTATCCTCCATCCATGCATTGTCTCTGAGCCTGCGGGAGAGAATATGGAGCATCGACTCACAACAGAGACCCGAAACACTACCGCAATACATCAACTTCTATCCCCAAGCGGAAGCTCTTTCTTCGGAACTCTCCGAGTTATTATAGGGGTTCCAGATCAGAAGGAGCATCAATCATAGAACAATGCGAAGAAAAACTCGAATTCCAGTTTTCTTTCGAGGGCTATAACGCGAATCTCCGGAACTCAAATGATCTTACTTAGTTAGTCTAGGAATTAGCAGCAGACTGCAGGCTGTCGTTGCGCACGAGGATATCGGCTCAGGTTTTCGATTTGCCAGTCGACTGCAACGTCGCGCGAACTCGGTTCCTCGAGTCAAATTGCTCGGGAAGATCTGTTGTGAGATGGTCAGGCTCTGCATCATATGAACATATGCATATCCATTGACCCCGAGAGTCTTCTATGCCCTTATTCAGAGGTAAAATAAATGCTGCGGTTCGACACTTGCAGCTCGGAGACTATACCACGGACGACGCATCGATTCCAGGTATGACTCTGTCCCTGAAGCCTTCTTCGCTAATTCAATCTTCTGTCTATCTTTATAAATACGATAACTCGAGATCCGAATGGGATCATTGTAAAAAATCTAAGCTCCGAAGCAGTGGACTGACGACCACAGGCGGGCCACAGGGGCGCCAGGGGTCCACACACGGACGCGATTCAAGACCGACTTGCCAATGGGGCAGAACAGCCTGGGAGCTACTGCTATGAACTGTAGCAAATCAATTTCTCCTACAAGTGACGATGCCGGCTCTTAACTGAGCAAAGCGCTTCCTGAGCTGGAGCGCATGGGTGTGTGGGATGCGCTTCTCTGCTCGATGAGTAGGCAGCTTGGTGACCCCTGGGCAAGTTTCGGGAGTGATTTTACAGATCGGAGATCGAATCCGTCGTACGGAAATTGAGCGTTGAATTCCGAGACTGCTCGCTTGAGATATTCCTGCGACGAAGCGAAGCGATTTCGGACTACAGCGAATCACACTGGATTCGGAGTGGAGTCGGCACCGAGATAGGAGCCAAGCGAATAATGAGGAAAATGCCAGCGGTCCCTCGCTTAACTACGACCTCTGTTCACGGAAAAGTCGGCCCAAGTTTCCTCGATAGACAGCCATCGACGCCCTGTCTCCGAAAACTCAGCTAAATTTCAGGTCTGGGGAATCTTCGACGACCGGCTCAAGCGTCGTTCTACATCGAGTCCGTGAGCTGCGGTCGACGTGTTGACAAAGGCTGGGCCACCCTCATCGAATGATGTCAGCACGGACAACGATAGACCAGCAACATCGAGGCTCGCAAATCGAAACTCCAAGCTTTCGTTGGTGAAAGTATGCTCGACTCCGGAGGCTCAGGGTCGTGCCCCGGGATGTTTCACGAGAGAGATCCTTGGCAGGTTTATGCGCCCCGACATCTCCTCGGTGGCAGCCAATATCACTGCCAATCGAATCGGAGCGACTCGCGCTGGGAAGTTCAGACAGCTGATTGGGGCGAGGGAAGAGAGGACAACCCATCATACTCGACGGACTCACTAGACTCAAACTCCTAGAAAATGAAAGATTACAACGAGGAAGTCGGTACAATCGAAAGTCTTTATTAAATCCGACACGATCCATTTTTATTTACAGCTCAAAAGTTTATTTTATGTCTTTTGCCTTGCTTTTCCCAGTATCACCTTCATTGAGAAGCTAGTTAGTCCTCTTTGGAACCATGGATTTTAGCTTACAAGTAGCACATTGATTTTTCATGTATAAGTTAGTGGTTTTCCGAGCACAGTCGTCTACGCCAGTCCACATCTGACACAATTCTTCATATCACAAGAAGGGACTAATCGCCTGTTCTCGATTTTTTCTCGGATCGTCTTGGCACAAGATGCCGAGTCCGTGACAAACTTTCCACTCTGACTCGATTCAGGCAGACGGCGAAGGGTGATAGAAGGCAATGGTGCTCGAGACTCAATTTTTCATTGGGAACAACACCTTCGCTCCTCGGAGATTAGCTGGACTGACTGTTGTTTCGATTTGAGATCCATCAGACGGATCAAGCCGCGGCTTTGTCCGTTTTCTTGGGTAGGAGCACTGCTTGAATATTTGGCAGCACACCACCTTGAGCGATGGTGACACCAGACAGGAGTTTGTTCAACTCCTCGTCGTTCCGGATGGCCAGCTGGAGATGTCTGGGAATGATTCGGGTTTTCTTATTGTCCCTGGCAGCGTTTCCCGCCAATTCCAAGACCTCAGCGGCGAGGTACTCGAGCACGGCAGCCAAGTACACCGGAGCGCCGGCTCCGACACGCTCGCCATAGTTGCCTTTGCGCAACAAACGGTGGATACGACCAACCGGGAACTGGAGTCCTGCTCGGGATGACCTAGTCTTTGCCTTGGACTTGGCCTTTCCGCCTTTTCCTCGTCCAGACATCGTTGATTCGGAGTGGTCACAAACGGATTAGCCAGACACAGTCACGCGAAATAGCCAGTCATTTCCCAAAATGGCGCTTATATAGCGCAGCGGTCGGGTAAGCTTGCCGCTTCCCTTTCCCCGCCGGAGAGGTAAGCGGGGAAGTTCTCCCGATCGCCCGCTCATAAATAGCAGACGGCTGCTGATGTCCGCCATTTCGTGTATTGTGCGCTGAAGAATTCGTGATGCCGCCGCAAGCTAGTGGAAAAGCCGTCAAGAAGGCCGGTAAGGCACAGAAAAACGTCCGTGCCACCGACAAGAAGAAGAAGAAGCGTAGGAGGAAGGAGTCGTTCTCAATTTACATCTACAAAGTGCTGAAACAAGTGCATCCCGACACCGGTATCTCGTCGAAGGCTATGTCGATCATGAATTCATTTGTGAACGATATTTTCGAGAGAATCGCCGCCGAGGCAGCCCGGCTCTCGCACTACAATAAACGATCGACAATCACCTCGCGGGAAATCCAAACCGCGGTCCGGCTCCTCCTGCCCGGCGAATTGGCGAAACACGCAGTCTCAGAAGGAACGAAAGCCGTCACCAAATACACGTCGTCCAAGTAAGCGCCCCGTTGGTCGGGTCAACCGAGAAGTGGTTCGCTTCCAAAGTCGTCGCCGCATCAATCGGGGATTCGAGCTCTACTCGTTCGCGCCCCACGTCACGATACTTCGTTCATCTGAATCGATCGATAATAATCTCTGCGGCAGCGGCCAAATCGTGTGGGCCACTGACCACTGTCGAATGAAAAATGCAATCCGACAGGAGAGCGTGTGCGGCCGAGCAAATATTGTGATTCTTAAAACTTAGGGCGAGCTGACGGCGGATAGGCCGGAAAAAATGTTGACACCAATAGTGTTGTGTGCGATCTCTGGTCAGAAAGTCGGAGGAACGACTCATTTCTGAACTGTTTCAAGAAAGGAATCCAGTGGATGCTGTATCCAAACATCCGCGAATTGTGACAAAATCCTGTAGAAAAAATAAACGTGCTGAGGGTGGAATAAAAACCTAACTTATAATGGAGTATATTTTCGACTTCTGACTTGGCAGCTAGGCGTTCCATTAGGAATAGGATATGATCCGGATGGTCGTGGGAGCTCTGGGTCTGAGCTTCGCAAACCAAGGGAGAGACGCGTCCCGGTAAAGACTCCAATCGACACTTTCGTACATGACCGACCGCTTAGGATGTGTCCATAATTTTCCAGAGCGAGCGCGTAAAAATCGGCAATAATGAATGAGAACTCGCGGAGATGACTCGACTGATTTTCCCTACGATGATACTCGGACGTCATACACTATTCTGTTTCACCCTCATCGAATCGATGTTGGATGCGCACTTGAACTTGAATCAAATTACATGAATTTCCCGGAAATAATCTCGTTTCGCGAATAGCTAATTTCTATCCGTCTTTCCGCCGTGGACGATCGCCGCGTTCTTTCGATCGAGTCGCATGAGCTGGCAGATATTGTGACTGCCCTGAACGCCGTCTGGCGGGCGGGAGCAGTGATCATTCGGCGAGACAGGAACTCTTCTGAGCGGCTCACGGCATCTGGAAATATGGAAGCTTCCGTCCACGGTGGGCAGAATTGAAAGCGACTAGGACGCTTGAGGGGATCGCCACTTCGTCCACGTCTCACCGGACCGGGGGGGGGGGGAAGCCACAGATACGTAACGTTCGCGAGCCCTTCGGAGTCTTCGAAGCTCCACCCAACCCGCTCCAGGAGCTGTGCGGTCGAGTGGGAGTCGACCACCGAAGCTCCGAGGTCGATGACTCGGGACTCCCATAGTTTCTATAGCGACGAGAGTCGATGATTGCCGCTTGCAAAATTTCAAGCGCCATCATCTCATTTTAGTTGATGAAGGCGGCTCTCCCGAATCAGGAACCCTTCGCCGACGCTTTCCGAGATTCTGTCCCGTGAGCTTGATCCCTGTTATGTATCGGGTCGGATTTACGGAATCAGTGGGCCGAGATTCCCGAATTTCACAAGGAGGTGCGTCATCTCCTCGAGTGGCCTTCTTGAATCGGGAGAGAAGAGCTGGATATGCTGATAGGAACGAGAACCGAACATCTCGGAAAAGTTCACAGCGCGAGAGGAAAACTTCAATCGGTGGATCCGGAGCAAGGCCTCAGGACCATAGGTGGGAGGCTCACATCGGGAAATAGCCATCGACTCCCGTTCATTCAAGCCGTCTTGCTGTCAACGGGGGAAGGAAGCATTTACGGAGGAGATGAGTGATCTTTGTGTTACGACAATTGATCATATTCGGGTATAGGTGAGCTATGGCTCACCCTCAGACACCGGATTTCCCGATCCTCAGTATCGGGAGTACGAAATCGCGGAAGCTGCCCGATAGTTCGATCTCGACGAAAGGGAGCTTGGGAGCGCGTCAAATCATCGATCTGAAGGCGCTACAGACTCCAAGATATTTCTGCGTCATTTTTTCCCTCAGGCAACATGGGGGAGGGTCCTCGGGGGTGTCCAGGCACATGAGCTCTCGTTGAATGCTACCTGCCTAAGTTTACCAATTCAGGCCATGCGACGGAACCCACGCGCCGGGGAGCGATGATGAGCGGTCATAAATCGGCGATGGGGGAGCCTGGACTCGGTACACTCGGCTCCTCATTCCCCGGGCTCTGATTCTCTCGTGCTCCCCTTGTCCCGGCTCGTAGAATGCCCCTAAGAAAAATATTGACGGGCGACTTATTCAACACTAGTGCGGGTCGCGGATACTTATTCATTGCGAGGGGTAAGACTGGAGGAGACCGATGCACTTGTCTGGAGTGGGAGATCTGGTTCAGCATTGAGAGGAACTTTCTCGTGTGATTGATCCTGCTGTCCCATCTCCCAATCGCCAGCTGCTACTTGAGATCCTCGTCGTCTTCGTGGGTTAGGCTTTCTGTCAAAAATTCACATCAGGGTGACTGAATGGGAAGTGATAGATGTGGAAAAGTGAATTCGAGAGCATCCGCTCCCCAGCCCGACGCTCTGCAATACAATCTCCAGGATGAACGACAGCAGCGTATCATGATGACGTCGACGATCGAAATCACTAGTTCGTGAGCAACTTTCTCGAGAGAATATCTTTGCGGCGAAGTACAGAATCTCTCGACCACTGTGGAGACGGACCGGAGGGGATGCTCGGAGTAAATGAGTCAAGGTGGAGGAGGAACATCGAATGTGTGAGCCGGAAGGTCCCTCGGAATGTCAACAGAAACGAAAACTTCGGGAGCTTCGAATCGCGGTTTCGCGGTAGATCTCCTACCGAACTGAACAAAGTCGGCGAGTCTCCCGTGAAGATCTTCGATAATCAGGCGTCCTACTGAGATCAGCCTGCGACCGCGCTGCGCTCCCGACGAGAGTTCGGTACGCATGGAACTGATTCCATATGTCCGGCGCTCGCGGGGATCATTGAGCCTGGAGCAACATCCATCTCCCCGAAATCCCGGCCTGTATCGCTGACAAGAAAAAAATCTCCGCTTTCCTACCGGAGCAAGAAAGCTGTTACTACGCGGCGCTATTTGCCGCCATGTCGCTCAATGTTTACACGAGACGAGACAAGAACATCTGATAGGTAAGGCCATCCGTCAACAGACTCATTTCTTTGATTTCGGTCCGGGGCGGACATGAATTAGGATTAAAGATTGACGAGGGTTTGGGGATCGGAACCGGTTTGGATCTCCATGGTTATATTCCTGCTGCAACATTATCCGGACTCTCAGAAAGCCGAGGCGGATTTCGGGAATCGAGCATTCCATGCTAACTAAGCCTACACGTTCTCGATGCCCTGCATTTCGATTGCTCGGGTCTTGGGGTTGATGACTTGCGGTGCCGAGGGTCCCTATAGTAACGCGGATCAAGGCGAATTCGGTAGTTTCAAGCAGGCGATTTCACGGCGCCGAGATGATGTTCCGAGTCACAGTTCGTCATCCACGAGTCCTCCCCCCCTCCCTTCAGTAAACCGGATACTTCGAGATTGCGGAGATTTTCGTTTCAGCCCGACGCTCCCGTCGGTACAGCCGGCAAGCCTCATTCAGGTTGTAGAACACGAAACTCTGTCCCCATCAAGAGCCGGTGGTTCCGGAGAGAATTCTCGGATAAGTAATCAAATCTTTTCGAAAGCTTCGTCGCCGTCCCTTCCCGAGCTTCCGTCGATTCGTTCCAGAAGGAACCCAGGAGGCTTTCAAGCTCCACTGGGTGGCTGATGAGATCTGACCGTATGAGACAGCGATTCGACGCGCATGCGCATTGCAGAGATTTCCGTCTCTTTCCCCAAGGTGCTCCGCTAGCGTATAAATAGTGCTGCAGACGCGAAGCACGCAACCCCATTTTTGTGGCTAAATTTTGGCGTGTGTTCGTGCGTGTTAATAATGTCTGGTCGCGGTAAAGGAGGCAAGGGTCTTGGAAAAGGAGGCGCTAAGCGTCACCGAAAAGTGCTCAGGGACAACATCCAGGGAATCACGAAGCCCGCCATCCGCCGTCTCGCCCGTCGTGGAGGTGTTAAACGAATTTCGGGTCTCATCTATGAAGAGACGCGAGGTGTATTGAAGGTGTTCCTGGAGAACGTGATCCGTGACGCCGTGACCTACACCGAGCACGCCAAAAGGAAGACCGTTACCGCTATGGACGTCGTATACGCGCTGAAACGACAGGGTCGCACTCTGTACGGCTTCGGTGGCTGAATGCCCTGAAGCGATGGAAGTCCACAAGCTTGAATCGTCCCTCATCGCGGGAATAATATTCACGTCGGATAGATACGGCCGAAACAAAATATCTTGTAAATACATCGGTGCCAATCTTCAATTGTGCAATCGGATTGGCACGATTTTTTTGTCCGCCCCACGCCGTTCTGACAAGTGACAAGCCACCGGTCGCGCGTTTTAATCAAGCCGAAGATGATTCTCTTCTGAAAATCTCTTGTTTGTAAATACTGGAACCGCTCCCCTCAATCGTAACCAAATCCAGATTTCGAGCGAAAAAACTCCTGCGAGGAAGCGGAGCTAGAGAGAAATAAAAGCGAAATGCAAGTATAAATTATTTCTGAATTCCTTCTTTACGGGGAGGAGCGCAAGGCTTCAGGTGTCACGGGGATGTTTCGCGTATGCTGAAGAGTCCAATCATAGTTCGTCTCGTAGATTTTTTCCTGATCCATTTTCAGCCCAGCTCCGAGATGATGCCGGCCTTAGAAATGGAAACTCCGCACAGCCCATAGTATTCTGTTTCATACACGATGATGCTGGAAAGTTCGATCCCTCCCATCACGGGCCACGATGATCTGCGAGTAAGGTATAATGACCAATGACCGCTAGCGATTGAGAGGTTCGGAGTGTGCCACGTGCGGGCCGATCACGAGTGTGACATGTCGTACGAAAGAATGTTTGTCTGTTGTGAATCATCTCCCGATCGATATCCCAGTGAGAGCGAGTGAGATCTACCCGCTGAGCAGGAGCTGCCTGCCTTCGTGTAATCAGGGCCGCGGGTTCCGGGCATCCGACAGAGATCCACTCTGGGGAACTTGTCGGGGGGGGGGGGTTTCCATCCATTGAGCGCGGGAAGGGATTCATGAATATCCGAGAGGAGTGAATAGAGTAAACACATGAAAATGCTATCCGGTGCACCACAGCTTTGCTGAGGTGCTACGGGACTAACAAAGTGTCGAGAACCGATGATAATCGAAGAGTTCCAAGGGGCAACATCAGACGAAGAACAGTCCGGTCGGAATTGCTTGATGCTCGCAAACGAATCCGGTCTGGGTCGGTAGGCACGGAGGATATGGCAGGAAGTCTCGGTAATGTCCGACCCGAGCCTGAAAAAGGTAAAAACTCGCCGTCATCGCCGGCACCGTCTGGAGAGCGGTCATACGAGAACGAGCCAATGAGCCTTTGACAGGTGTGCGATATGCGTATGCAGGCCGTCCATCGAGGTTCCGTCGCTAATCTAACGAGACTGCGATATCAGAGGCCTTCAGAACGTTCCGTATTTTCCCGTGTCTCGAGGCGAGTCCGTCTGTATTTGATCTGAGATTTCTTTTTTCGTATTCGTTCACAAAAAGGAGGGTTGGATGATGAGTTGGTCGATTGGAGATTGAGACCGAGGTCCGAGACATCCTGTAATTAAGTCTTATTAGCCTTGAGAGCCTGTACAACACGTTCCTCCGGGCATCGCGATTGCAACCCTTTCCCACGCAGATCGATGAAATATGTGGGAACCCATGCGGGAAATGTTGAAGGAGACGCCCTGACGGGCCTGAGAACTTTCGCGCTGGGGCCCGCCCCCTCATTTCGGATGGGTCGTACTGTCTTTCTTATTCATGATTTTTGTTTCTTGCGGAATAGGAAGAAGACACAGAATGGCTCTCTGGGACCAGGTGATCCGCGCATAGATCCCCGACGATCCGCCAGAAATCTGTGGGGCCGCTCCGCCGCGACAGAGGAGTCTAGAGGGAGTCGCCCCCGATATTTGTGTTTCGGAAGAGTGAGTAGTTTCCGAAGTCAAGAGAGGACGATGGGCCCCTAGATGTTGGGACCATCCGTGCTAAGGATGTAAACCCTGTAGAATAGTAGCATCGAATAATGCCGTAGCCGAACGATGCTGGAGCGTACTTCGATTTCTTCGTAGTGTCATATGCGGTCCGCCTTTCATTAAATTGGATGCTCGGGGTAACACACTCTTTATGGCGCTCGATCTAGTCATGTCGGGATCTTGTCGTCTGCGACTCCATCGTTCCGGGGCTGTCATCAGTCTCTTGCTAGCGTGCGGCGGAGTCGTGCTCCACGGATTGCTCGGTGAACTCACTCATCGGCTCTGGTATCATCGTGGCTGTATTTCCCGCATCTAGGTCCATGCGAGTCTTGGAGGTCCGAGAATCTTGTTGGATATGGTGAATTTCATCAGAGGGACCGTGCGAGAGGAACTCTTCTTCTGCTGGTTTTCCGTTCTTGCAATCGCCGTGGTCGAATCTTCTAAAACCGAATACAACTACTCGGGACTGACGGATTTCCTCGAGAATTTCTGCGACGGAGATCACGCCTACTCTCTGATCGTGGATTCAAATTCTTCAGGTATCGAATGTGAGTGCCGTCGTCTCTTCGAGTTCGCAAGCGTAACTTTTCAATTCAACCCGAGCTGAGATGGGCTTCCCGCGAGAATTGTCATTGCTCTCACCTTCGCTTCCATCTCGCTTTTTTTTAGATGTGATGCACGCTTCTAGATGCGCCGTCCATGTTCATCTCTGGGACCAAGAATCGAAAACGATGAATGTGCCTATCGAGGACTTCGTATCTTCGCACAAGATTATCTTCTTCAACATGAGCTTCGAGACGGCGCGCTGCGTGATCTCTCTCCATTATGTAGGGAGGCTACTTGTTCAGAAATGATTCCGATATGGTCGATCGTCAAGAGCGAGACGCTCCTGTTCTGCGAGGTTCTCCTCGTTCGAATGAGATACAAGTCCTCGCGCTCGTTTCAGAGCCCATTCAGGCGTCAAGCGGATTTCATTTGCCAAATTCATGCCGAACATATCCACGAGAGCCAGACACCTTTCACAACGCGGATTCCGGCGAAGTGCTGTCAGACCCTCCTAATCTCCTCGAGGGAATCCAGGATAGATCTAGCGTTCTTGGTAGACGATGTACGTGGCCTCATCCCTCACGCATAAATCAAGTCTTGACGCGATAATTCATTTCTTTCACAGCACTTTCGTTCATTCATTATAGCATTTATAGTATTGAATTTATTCGAAAAACACGACTTTCCTCAACCATCCCGCTCCACGGTATTTCCATAGATCTCGGTCCCTGGACGTGACGTTGTAAGGTTTGCAATGTCAGAGACGGGTTTTGAGACAGCTTGCTTGGAATGCGGTTTCATCCGACACAATAACGTAGGTCGGTACACTTACATCCCTTCAGTTAAAGGATTGACTCTCCACGTGGGATACATTGAGGTTAGTCGATCCGAAGACGAGACGGAGTATCACATCAGGAATTCACATTGAGGCGTAGCATCCGATGCATAAGAGCCATAATGTTCTCGCAGAACGCACCGCACTTCCTCGTGAAGCAGAACCGAGTGACGGGGCAAGTGCAAGAGGATAAGGGCACCGAAGTTCAAATGCTGCGAATGTTCTCTCGATATTTCAATTTCACGTGAGCGTCAGACTTCTCCAGACCCGAAGCATCGGCGTCGACATAAGAGGAGGGGGAGAATTCCCGAAATCGTTCTAATCCTCGATCATGCTCGCAGGTATAAACTGCACCCCGAGCCGAACTCTGTCTATGGTTCCCGAGTGGAGAAAAACGGACGAAGTGATTGGAACGGCCTGATAGGTTGGGTTTACCACAAGGTTTGCCGGGTTCCGAACGCGGCCGAGATCCCAAGTCGGTCGACTAAACTTCACGACCAATTTTTGAAGCTCATTCGCGCATCCTCGATCGGCATCGGATGCATTCCCCTTACAGAAAATGGATCTGAGCTTATCCGAGCTGGGCTTGTCGTTCTTTCGCTTGGCGGCCGTTACCTTCACCTGGCCCTACATCTGTGACGTCATCACCTACGCCTATCCAGAGCCGCGTAACAGGGAGTCTTACGCTGCCATAATATGGGCCTTTCAAGGTCTGACCTGGACCGCTATATGCGCCTGTGTTCTCCTCAACACGCTCATCATCAAGCTGTTCAGGGTGGGTTGCGGATCAACCGCGATCGAGGGTTGGGGCGATCCGGGGGTTCTTTCGGGGAAAGAATATCGACCGAGAGTTGTGGATTTCCCTCCGAATGAAGTTATTTGAAGCCACGAGCTCGGTTTTCAGGGTCCGACGGTTTGTCGCGGCGCAATGCCTGGATTCTGGCTTCTCCTCGCTCTATTGGCAAGGCAATGTACGTTTTCCCGGGAATCCAGACTATCAGATTTGTGTAATGAGTAATGAGCTAATGAATAAAGAAGAATGCAAGAGGCAATTTTAAGAGACTTTATTTCCAGCAAGCGACGGTTTCAAAGAGTTCACTCGACTATCGTACAGAGTTTTCCTGTTCTCCTACGCGGTTTTCGCGTTCTACATCACCAACAGCTACGACACGTCGCTGTTTTCTCTGCTCTCGAAGCCCGTCGTCGAAGGCGAGGTATGAGGCTCGCTGAGATTGGATCTCGTCCGAGGGAGTCGAGCACGTTACGAGCTCACCTTTTGTCCCCAGATTCGCTCCCTGAATGAACTCTACGCAGCGATCGCCGGCAAGCGAATCCGTTGCGGAACGCAAGCCAGCACAACTATATTCGATGCTCTACAGGCAAGTGCTGGACGGGAAGAGCCTATTGGACGCAGAATACTTCTCAGCATACGCTCCTGAAATTCTGCCCCTTATTTACCTCGTAGATATATCAGCACAAAGTCGCTGATATCATCAGGGAACAGATGAGAATGTACCCTTCGTTGTTGACTGACGACAAGCGATCGTCCCTGAGGAAGATTCCGTCTGAAAAGGGGTATGTATGTATACCAGCATCATGAGAGGGATCGGTCCCAGAAATCACCAAGTGAGCACGGTGGCGCCGACGTTGGCCTGCGGAGTTTTCCAAACGTCTGATTGAGGGAATATCTTATCTACAATTCTTAATTGAAGCTGTTTCTTATACACTCGGAACTACATGAAAGCCTTCATGTTCGAGAATGGACTCGAGCGAGACGTGCGGGTGTCCGAGAGCGACTACTTCTATACTTTCATTGCGGGGATGGCACTACAGAAGAAGTGTCATCTGATTCATCTTTTCAATGGACGGTGAATTTTTGCTCGGAAAAGCCAGATTCGAAATGATGGAACGCAGAAGCATGGGCAGTCGATATTATTCACCTTATATCATCGATTGCAGATTGCAATGGCTGCTCGGATCGGGTTTGTGGTCGAAGTGGCTCGCGGAAGGCATGATGGAGAGAAAAATCTTCAAGATCACAACCGAGCCCTCCGCCGTCTCCAATAGTGCTTTCATTGGTGGGTGAGGCTTTCGGCTATTCAAACACCTCATGCGTAGCTGATGCGCTGGACCCCATCCTGACTGACAATTCGTGGCGGAAAATCTATTCCAGGGCCTTACATGCTTTTCGGAGCCGGGATCGTTCTCTCGATGATTATCGTTTCCCTTGAGAGAATTCGTATGCGTAAAGGTGGGGCTGTTCGACGTAAGAATACCAGAAGGATCGACAAGTTCAGATAGCGCAAATTTTCGGACTCGGACTTAGAGACCCCTCAGAGCTACAAACATACGGTGAAGCGCATTCCAAACGGGCATCTCGGGATCGAGATGGAAAATGAGGTGCACGTCTGGATAAGGCGAAGTTCGTTTCCTATATGGATCGCTGTCAGAAGTCAGCTGCTCTCGACCGGAGAGCGATCCATGTTTGTCGGCAGTGTATCGCATGTACAATGCAGCCGCTCTAAGAGGTGGCGACACAGAAGGCGACGAGTGCTCTGAAGGGCGCCAAAGGGAGAAGTTATTGCTCAGCCGAGGATGAGTCCACGAGGGAGCTGGTAGACTGTCCTAAGGTAACGAGAAAATACTCCGGCCAGTCGAGTGCATGATCATGGGTTTGAAGGCTTATTTCGTAGCGTTGCTGATCCGCTTCTGCGAATACAATCGCCTGGAATGGCTGTGTGAAGCCCTTGACGTTTTCCCGCGGCCGAAACAGTTGTCTTGTGGAGCTCTGGATTCATTGAAGGCGAAACTCAACACCACCCGAACGAGCCACCCCGAATCGATATCGTTCATGAGCACGTTCGGGAATTTGCCGAAGTTCTTCTCCGTCGTGCCGCTGCCCACCTTGAAAACTTTCACCTACATGTGTTTCCTCCTGATGTGGGGATGCCTCTTCCATTGGGTAACCAACGATGAGAAGATCCGGAAGTTTATGAAAGACAGAGGATGGACCTTCATGGAGGACTTCGTAACCAACTGCGACTCTGAGACGTCTTCCTCAAAGCCCCTGAACGTCAGTGAGACTTCCGTTTACAGTTCATTGAACAGCTCGAACTCGTCTATGCTCACAGCTCAGGGTTTCGATGCGAGTTTCGAAGAAATCACAACAGTTGATGGAGTTCAGGATTTCGCCAGTCTCCTGTCCCTATTCGACGTGATTACATGTGAAGAGATTGCGGAGAACACATTCTTCCTGCGCTGCCAGGGAGAAAGACTCTGCCTGACGTTAATCGAGATATCCGAGATGCACTCGTTGAACCGAACATTTCTCGGAGACCTGAGATTTTTCAGAGAGATCGCCTCGACCGGAGCTGATTTCGTCAGCGAAGCCCACGCGCTGGACTTGAGAGAAATCGTGGCCATCTACGATTCACGAGATCATTTGAGTTTCCTCGACGCGCACCGATCCTGGGAGGCTAAGAGATACTTGGCGGTTATCTATCAATACGAGGAAGTAGTCGACTTCAGGGAATTTTATGAAGATCATCCAGGCGTAGAGGAGATTACCCTGGTCCTAGAAGACATCGTGACCAGCCTGAGGTCGCTGCTCTCTGCCGCTGCGCGGTGTTCAGCAAAGGTTCCTTCGCAATTCCTCATCGCCCTCGTTACCTGTTCTCACGATCCGCAGAATCCCGTCCAAAGAGACAGATCGTTGACTTGCTTGAACGCGTTTGGCGTCTCGGTACGACTGAACCCTCTGTGTCTGGGATCCGGAATCCCGCTCGATCAGATGTTTCTGTCCGTCGCGTTTCTTCGACACCGCCTAGAGACCGAAAAAGAGGATTGCCATATTGCCATTGACTACTTGTTGAATAGCCGAGCGATAAAAACTTGCACGGAGCTGCTCCTTGTTCTAGGCGAGCTTCTAAACTTCGAAGAGAAGGGTGTGAGAGGTTTCCGACCCCAGGAGCCGCCTGTTCGGCCCGAAGAGAAGCCGTCTTACAATATCTTCGGTCCAATGGGAAGCCCTTGTACAATATGACGAAACGCCTCAGGACATTTTTGGGGGCGCATGCTTCTTTCGAGAGATCCTTACGCAGGGGGCGGTCCGCGAAGCCTCGATCCTGACGAAGAGTCTCGTACTCGAATCTTATCACATGATATTTCTTAATTTAAGTACAAACGGATGGTCTCGAAGGAATAAACGAGAAGTTTCATAGACGAGGAATTTGTAATCTGTGTCCGACCCTCCCATCCAATCGTGCGCTACGATAACATCGCCTACAGATCTAAAGGCAGTGGCGCTCTCTCGATAGGTAATCCCAATTTGCCGCCCTTGCGACCATGACTTGAGATGGTTGGACGATCAGTCTCTCGGAGCGGACAAAGATCGATCTGTCTGAGAGTGCCCGCCTGTCGGTTCCTGGACTGGCTTAGAAAATTGCGTGAAGTTCGTGATGCGAAACTGTGATGGCGAGAATAGAAGATCTGGTTCCCGAAGACCGACTCGGGTCTACTCTGCTTCGAAGAACGACTCCAGCGTGGGTTCCACGATTTCGCGTCCCGTCATCGGGTCAGACGGAGTCCCGCTTTTGGAACTTAAACCAGGACCTATCCTAGTTCGAACAGGAAACATCCCAGATCGAAGGAACTCGAATCGAGCAGTCTCCGACGAGAGGAATAGGCAAGAGGAGAAAAAGTCGGTACCGCAGCGCCGGGTCACTCCTCATGAATCACCGTGAATTCGGTCGAAGATCGGGGGAGCGCGAACTCTGATTATTTATCGATTGATTTTCTATCGGTCTCGTCCTCTGATCTGACCTGTCGACGCGTCCAGACCCCCGTTCCTACCGAGGATAAAATGAGAAGTTGAAGTCATTTTCGTAGGAATAAGCCCTCGTCATTTATATCAGTCATTTCCATCTCATCATACATTTACAGAACATCGATGGGTAACCTGCGGAGACCAGCAGACTGTTTTGGGTCGGGGTTCGCCGGTTATCGATACCAGTACTCGGACGATCGTCCTTCGTTCGAGGATATCAATCGATCGATCCGTCGATGTCCCGATCGATGATCGTTTTCCTCTTTACATTTACAGAGTTTTGCAACAACGTACACTTCATCGGCTGAGTTTGGCACCTCCACCCCTACGTATTTCATTCTGAGCATCTCCAAACTCACACAATCAAAAAATCCGCCTCAGAATGTCTCGAGCGCGGAGTTCCCAAACTTTTCGTAAGGTTCCGTCTCTCCCTCCGCACACTTCCGTGACATCATAGAGTTTCATTCGTGCCTCTAATGTGTTCTAACGGTTGGAAACAATAGCATCGAAACGGACTGAAACGTTTGAAGAGTTGTCTCCACATTGATTGAGCAAAGAAGTCAGGCAAGAATTTATGATTGTTCCGGAATAGAACTTCGTATTGAAATCACCGGAAGGGACCGGAATAGAGACCGGAATCCGGAGATGTGGTCCGCTCGTGCGAACGGATCGACGATACCGGTATCGACTCTCAAAATTCCTCCCCTATTCAATGAGAAGAACAGATCGCACGCTCGATAACTACCCAATATCGCGGAAATGAGAGCGGGAACTCTCTTTGAAATATAATATTTTAATTTAGGATGTGGGAAAACCTTGCGACGGCGCTAGAAAAGAATACGTTTCCGTCTCGATCCATCCGCATAGCCTCTCTCTCATACAGACAGGTCTGCCTCACGATACCTCAGTCCACGTGGTATTGATTTCACTTCATTCTTTATACAGATCACATAAAAACCAACCCTCGTTCAGCTGGAAGTATTCGATCCCTGATCGATTTCTGAATCAACGCGACGCTCAACGCAACATTGGAGTATCGAATAATTTTCAATTTTGTCAGTATTGATCTGATTGACCTCCTCCTTCCAACAACTCGGGTTGATATGTTCGATATTTAGTCAAGAGTACACAGTGTGGGGCTGTGAGTCACCCTGAGCCCGAGATTTCATCGTCATAGAGAAAGAGCTTTTCTTCTTTTCTCCATTCCGCCTCAATGCGACGAGTCATATCCTTCTCGATCTTTCGCACAACTAAGAAAACAGAAGCGATCGATAAACATCATCGATTTGTCGCTTTTCCTGTCCCGTCTTTCCATCATTTGTTTGTCACCAAAGTGGTCTGCTAAGTTATTCCATTTTCTTTTTTTCATACATATCCAATGACATCTCTCCAACAACTTGATGGAGAGCGAGTCAAGCCTATTTACAGGGACTAGAATGTACACATAGAAAAAGAAATAAAAAAGAAAAATATTCCTCGTTTTGTCAGAGCTGGCGTCGCATCCCCCTCGAGCTGAGTCTCGGGAACCTTGAATCTGAATTCTTCGCGGGGGAACTCGGACGCCAACGGAGGAATTCCGTGATTTTTCATTAGAACATTCACTTATTGATTGCCGTCTTCTGGCCCAATACTGTCATAGAATTCAGCGGCTCCTTTTCGAGGCGTCACCTCTGTGCTGATTCCTCATGTTCCGGTATCTGGCTCTTCGTTTTCGAGTTCCCTCCTTTCGGAAAACGATATTTGTCGGATCATCCGCGAGCTGAGGATACTCGTCCACTGTATGGATGTCGGTCGGATAGTAACGGTCGATTTTCTTTGTTGCTAGGAGTTCTTCTCGCTCGGCATGGCTCCAATCATGGGTGCTTCCTTTGTGACCTGTAGCGACTCTTCCGGCTTCGAGCTCCCACGCCTCTTGTATCGCTTTCCTGGAATCGGGGAATGATTGAATTTCTGTTGCTCGGAGGTCTATGGACTGGGATCGGAAAACAGTCGTATCGAGATTATTCTTCAAGACGTTAACGAACCTTTTGACGTGATTGACGATACGTTGCTTCTCCTCCGGAACCGTCGAGCCATACTTGATGTTCAGAGCCACATTACTACTGTGGACCCTGATGTCGATCTGAGCTCTGCGGCCTCCCTCGCTGTCAACGACGGGATGCTTCGTGATGTTGAACAGAGCCGAGCCGAGACGACCCAACTGTTCCCAATCCTTGTCCGCTTTGGCCAGCTGCGGCTGAACGAAGTAGAAGTAGTCGAGCCCGTGCTGGTTATAGTGCACGTCGAGCATCAAGGAATTGTTGAAAACCGCGGTGATCACGTCTCGGAGTATCGGAGTCGCTTCTGGCAGAACGAAAACTCTCACGGACCCGTCCGGGAGCCTGTTTATGAGGAGACCATCTCCAAAAATGCCGGGGAGGTTGGCGATACGCGAGTTTATCGGTCGCTCGAACAAGCCGAGGTTCTTCACCTTCGTCTCGGGTACGGCAGAAACCCTGTTGAACTCATTCGATACTTCTGTCGCCAGACAATTCAGACCGGAGAGGACGGGCAGGGTCGGCCGCATTAGACTCGACGCGAGCGGTGTGACGATCGGTGTGGTTACGATCTGCGGTGGCTGGATGACGATCTTCGATAGATCGTATCCGAGAGCGACCATCCACTCGTTCAGAGCTAAAAGGGAGAGAAAATTATGAAATCGATGCTCGGAGCCGAGTCTCGATTCTCGGAACAATTATTCTAGTTCGTGCTCGGCTATTCAGAGATTATTGTCATGGAGCGTATGCTCGGGAGGAGCTTGTCATCACGCCTCGAATTGGCTACTTACTCGTCATTTTTTCCGGCTGCGTCTTGACGTTGATCGGGTCGTTGTTCCTGAAGCGGTACAGATGAATGAGGTGGGGCTGTTCCACGCGAGTGTAAACGTCCTCCCAGTTCGGAGTCAACCACTGGATACCGAGGTTGTCGTATGGCCGAGCACCGTAGAACACGAGCTGGGTGACTGGATCACGAATGCCTCCGAGAAAATCGATCGGCAAGTAGAAATCAGGATTACTATCGTAGGTCACTCGACCGAAAGGATTGCGTTGGATCTCTTTGACCACTGAGTTCTCGGGGCTGAACACCGCGAGGGGAGAACCCAGATGATCGCAGGCCACGTAGAATTTGTTGTCTCGGCGTTGGATGAACATCAGGTGACCGAGCGTGTCGTAAACGAAAGTTGTCGTCAAGCTCTCTTTGGGCTGGTGCATTTGCGTGACGCGATCCGGATGGATCGGATCGGCGTACACGAACTGGGTGATGTTCCCTCGGTGGTTCTTTGTAGCGATCAGACGATTGCGGCTATCGTAGAAAAAGTGGATGTCGTACGAACGCGTCTGCCAGGCGTGAACGAGCTGAGCTTCGGCGTTGTACTCGAAGTATTCCTCGCCACGTCTCGTAATGAAGCCCCGAGCGTCGGCTTTGTAGACGTCGATTCCGCCGTAGCTGATCACCCGATCTCCAGAATCGTAATTGAGATTGACTTGTTTTGGACCTTCCTGGATGCTTTCCAGGTTTCCGTTGATGTCGTAAGAGTATTTCCAGGTCTGCGCTGTCGTCGAAACTGGTTCAACGAGCTGGAGGAAACCGTCGAGGGTGTAGTTGAAACGTGTCTCGAGCACATTCGTGTCCCTGCCGACTTTCGTCTGGAGGGAACTGACGAGATTCTTGTTGTTGTAGCGGGGAACGTATGAGAAAATCTCCTTGCTCCACAGTGACAGGGTCAGAGATTCGATGCGTCCTAAGGAGTCGAGCTGGATCGTCTTGGTGAACTGACGATTGTCGTCGTGGATAATGATCGAGTTCTTCCTCGGCCGATTGATCGTGAACTGATGGGTCTGCTCCAACAGACCGGTGACAACGCTGTAGCGGTATTTGCTTTGGAATGTCGTCTTGCCGATAATTTCGATATCGGAAGAGCTGAGCCTACCGCCATCGTAGATATACTTGAGTTTGATTCCGTCGAGCAGACTCTTCGAATTGAAACGGAAGCGCTCCTCCTTCAGAAGACTACCGTGATGTCTGTAGTCGATTCTGGTCTCGAGCAGCGGGACGTTCTTGGCGACCGACCTCACGAGAGCGCTGTTGTTGTTGTAGTAGAAGTTGGTGCTCTCCTGACCGCAGATGATCGTGTCGAGACGGCCCTCGTCGTTGTACGAATACATGACCCGTCCCAGGCTGTGCGGGTAGAATTTCGCCAAGACGTATCCACGTTCGTCGTAATGCATCACGTACGGATGGTTCGCTCCCGGCGGCAGATACAACAGTTTGTAGAAGCCTAACGATGTCTGGCTGGCGATTTCGTGCCGGTGACCGTTTGGTGTGATAATGCTCTGCAGACTCGAATGACCGTTGTACATGAGCTGGTAACGGCTGCCGCTCGGCAGAATCACTTCGGTAGGCTGCAAGGAAGAAAACGAATGTTCCTCATCGAATCTACCGGTTTTCCCAGTCTCTCTGTCTATGTCTCTGTCGAATGCTCGGTCGCTACGCAATTATTGTTTGTTCCTTACGAACAGCTTCGAAAAAAAATCCGAAAAACTCACCACTGTTATCGGACCGTCGGTGTACTTGTAGATGATGCCCGTGTTGTCAGCGTGGCGGACGTCGGTCAGTCTTCCAGCCAGATCGAAACTATACGTCTCGATGAGATCGCCTCGTTGCCATTTCGTCACGCGTCCGAATCGATCGTAGTCGAGCGTGACACCAGAAACGTTCATCTTGGGATTCCACGACTCCGGTTGGCCTTTCTGGTTATACTGGACTGTGAGCAGCACGATGTTGTTCTTGTCGAGGATCGATTCCGTGAAACTCTGTCGGTCGAACTCGATGCTGAAGAGATTCTCGCCGTTGATTTTCGCTCGTCTGCCGATCTGAGTGATTTTCTTGCGATTTTCCGGTTTCGAATAATAGCGCCATTCGAGCCTCTGGGTGATATCGTCGCTCAGGGAGAGCCGCAATCTCGAGGGAACGGGGAATATTTCACCCGAAACCACATCCTGGTCCATCAGCAGCGGCGAGGATTGCGTCTCGATATCGCGGATCACATTCGTGTCCGAAGCGATAACAACGCCGTTGTCTGGATTGAGCTGGCAGGTCTGAAACGGATCGATTCGGGTTAAATGGGGGAATTCACATCTCTCGCGATATCCAGGCAGTTGTCGGATTCAATTTTCACTTACGAGCTCCTCACTGGCTCCCGACTTGCTGGTGACGCTGTGACCCTTGATGAGCAACTCGGTCGTCTCGCGACCGTTCCTCGTGACGACAACCGTTGCGCCTTTGATACTGAGGCTATAGGAGAGATGGACCTGTTCCCCGGTCGGAGTGACGGCGTCCGTCAATCTTCCATAATGATCGTACGAATACAGAACGGATTTCCCGGAGCTGTCCGTCTTGGATTTGAGTAATCCGCTGTTGGAGCCGTAGTATTCCAGCGAGGTCTTGTGGTTGTCGGCGGTGACGAACGAGAGAAGCATGCTGTGTCGACTTCCAATTTCGATGAGACATTTTCCGCCTTGACTGTTCTCAATGGACTTAGCTTGATGGCTCGTGTCGCGCAATACGAACAGCTTGTTGCCGGAGGCGTCGGTGACGGTGCTGAGTTTGCCGTTGCTTGTGTTGACGTTGTACGTGAACGTATACTTCGTCTGTCCCGTCAATATATTCCTGGTGGATATGTGCTGGCCGTGCCGATTGAACGTGTAGATTTCCTGGGTCTCAGGCGAGAAGATCTCGATAACGTGCTGAGGTCCGGAGGCCGCCGGAAGCGACGAAATTACAGAGCGGATCATGTGGTTACCCTTGTCGCTGATGTGAAGGTTTCCATCAGGAGTGACCGCGATGCCCGAGATCGAATCAAACTTTGCAGCGGTTGCTAGGATTTCATTGTCGTAACATTTACAGTTGATTTCGAGGCATGAGCATTTAGGCTCGGCGCCCACGTAGTGCTTGATCTTGCCATCGGGCGTCACGACTCGGACCCGGTTCACGGTCTGTGAGTCGCTTTCCGCGATGTACAGATCGCCCTGGGACGAGAAAGTGATGGCTGTCGGCGACTCGAGAAATACGTCCGTCGCGAAGTCGCCCTTGGTGCCGGTGCAGTGAAGCGGTTTGCCGGCCACGACCTTGAGGCGGCGATCGGGCGTGAGTTTCATGATCACGTGGTCGTCGAGGATGTGCAGCGAGTTGTCCAACGGGTTAATGGCCAGTTCCGTGGGCCATTTGAGATTCACTTGGGACGCGGTGTAGGTTCCCGTGCACGGCAGAGGTTTCCAATGGCTCTTGTGGTGGTGATCTCCGATGATGGTGTTCATGACGCCGAGCCGATCGACGTAGCGGATGTTGGTTCCGTCGGCGATGTAGATCTCGTTATTCATCGAAATGGCGATGCCCTTCGGGTAACTGAGTTTAGCTTCTCGCGCCGGTCGACCATCGCCGCAGAACAGTTTGTCTCCTGGAAGGCATTTCGCTCCGGTGCCGACCACGAGCTCGACGTTGTTCTTTACGTCCACCACGTCGTCCAGTCGGATCACGCGGAACACCTTATGCCTTTCAGGGTCTGAAACGTACAACTGACCCGTTGCCGGAGCAACAGCCAAGTGGTACGAGTAGGCGATCTGAGACGAGGCCAGCTCGACAACGGTGCTCACCATTCCGTCGGGTTTGATCCGACGGATCAGGTTGAAGTCACCGACGATTATAGATCCGTCCGGAGCATTGACAACGGCCACCGGAGACATGAGTTTCTGATCCTTGGCCACACCGTTGCAGTATGTGCAGTGCAGAGGTCGTTGGCTCTCGTCTCCCATCGTGATAGAGAGGACTTTCGGTTTGTTTTTGAGGTAAACGTTGGAACCGTCGCCTTTCTGCAGGATCCCCTCGTGGAAGTTGTACCGATGATGGATGTCGAGATTCCAGCCGCCGATCTCCGAGATCGACATGTCATGACCACTCACTTGAGTGGTTTGGATCTCCCAAAGGACTTCCGGACAGTTGGAGTATTCGTAGCCGACGTGAACTGGAAGATACGTTCGAAATTTAGTTTTTGTGAGTTTCTGCAATCAACTCTCGGATGGACTCACCACAAATATGATCTGGAGCGAGCTCTGCTCACATTCACCAGTGGGCGACCCGCACAGAGTCTTCGAGTCCGAGAACGAATTTCCATCGATTTCAAGAACTTACCGTGGGCTTGAGCGATGCCGTACACTTTCTGACGGTAGGTGTTCCTCCGATTCCAGGCGTAGGTGAATTGGATAGCCGGATCAGCCTCGAAAGTTCGCTCGAAAATCACACCCTCGATGTAAATTTTCAAGTGAATCAACCTCAACGACTGAGGTATGGTGTCCGGAGTGAGCTTCAGCTGGATCGTTGAATAATAGCCAGCTGATCGGCTGGAATGGTACAGCAGGTGGACTTTTGTGCCAGGAATGTTGATGGCTTCCTGGACCGCCTGAGACTCAGCCAGGATTGCGCTATTGTCGCTGCAGCCTCCTTGGAAACCGTGCTTCCACGTCGCCATAACGACCGGTTTCATAAGGTCGAAGTCGTGGTCGGCACAAACGGCGAGCTTTGTGATGTCCGGAATCTTCATTTCGGTCAGACTCATGATCACCTGGCCCAGGACCATGATATCATTCACAGGAACTGTGAGGGTCCTCTCGTGAACCTGAAAAACGTTCCTCCTTACTCTTCCCGATCTTCCTGCATCCGTGGCTGTTTGACAGGATGGCGCAAAAATTGAAACGCAGACATCCAGAAGTGACATCCCGATTGCTAAAAACTCACCTTGAACGGATCCCTCCTGAATTGCAACGTGACGGCACCGCCACCGTTGACCATCAGATCGAACCATCCGTCCAATCTCGACACGGTGAAACCAGCAGCCGAGTCGGATGCAATTCCAACGCGGACTCCCATAAGGGGGGATCCTGAGGTAGACACCACCTGTCCTCGAATGACCGATGCGCGGCTGTTGTTGTGGAAGGAGCAGTGAGTTTTCGTCTTGCCGTTTACTGGTAACAATATTCTCCGAAGAGCGATTCGACGATAATTGGATATGCCTCACTCTCGTTATTTACTCATCAACGAGACCTCGGCGATTTCTCGTCGACGTGAACGGAAATAGAACGGAAATCATATCTATGGACGACTAAGAAGGAGTCAGAAAAGGAAAGAAGGATGAGGATAAGAGGGGATCGAAAGGGTGGACAGAGGTGCGGACAACGGACTTTTCCCCGGGGAGGAAAACCCCAACGAGTGAGCGACCGAACGACCGATCGATCGAATGAACGGCGGACCGACCGACCGACCAACAACAGAACGTAGAAGACGAACGAGAGAGCGAATGACCCGGAAAACCGGACGAACGCATCGTGGTCATCATAGAAACCATCCGACGAGTTCGTGGCCACGTACCTCGTGTTGAAATGGTTCCAAAGCGTGCTGCGTGAAAGGCGGATCAGAGAGTTCGGAGTTAGCAATGTTAGCCAAGAGAGAGAGAGAGACAGAGATTAAGTCACAGCGTGAGAGTTCAGGCAGATCGCCCAGTGGGCGGGAAGTAGAAGACAGAGAGACAGACAGTTCCTCAAAGTTAGTGTTTTTCTCTTTCGTAAGGCTCTCGGTGTTCCTTTTCTATGGAACATGCTTCGTTGCCGTACGGAACAGCTGCAGAAGAGTTTGTGAGAAGCGACGCGGCGAGTGCACGTGAACTCACCTATGGTTGAAGGCTCCTTTGCTGGCGTAGCTTTGTACCGAGTCGTCCTCGATTAAAAACTGCATCCGTTGGAAGAAGCTCGCCGTAACCGCCGGTGGTTGTTTCCTCAGAAGGACGTCACGTGGATCCGATGATTGAAAGCACAGGGGGTTGCTGCTGCATTCGGGCGAAGTGCAGCATTCGGAATCCGCGCAATCCAGGAGACCATCTGTAAGCCATCGTTGTTAGTATCACTCGAAATTTCGAAACTTCCTCCCAAGTTTTAGTTTAACAGAATTTCCGCGATGGTGCTTGATCTAACGCTTCGATTCCGACTCGGTGAGAGTGGAAGGAAAAATAATAGGAGTAATAATAAAAATAATTGATAATGAAGATCTCCCCCTATAATGATAATAAGATTGATGAATGAATGGAAAGCGAAGAATGCTCTTTCTCACCTCCATCGTTGTCGATTTTGTCCCCGCAGTTCCTCTCGCTCGGAAGAGAGCATCCGGTACCCGACCAATTGTCGTGACATCGGCACACCCATTCTCCTGCGTCCTTGATACATTCGCCATGTCGATTACACATCGAAGGACATCCCTCTGAAAGACGTTTGCATCGTCATCATCGGAATCTGTTTCGTGCGGTTCGGTCGTCCATCGCTGCCGATAACAAGGAGATTACACGAAATCCTTCTTACCGAGGGTACAATGTTTCCCGTTCCATCCGGTGAGGCACGCGCAGGTCCCGTTGCGACATTGGCCGTGTTCGGAGCACCGGGAATCACAGAGTTTCTGATCGCACTTCGGACCTGTCCAGCCATCGAGGCACTCGCAGCGGCCTTCTCGACATCTGCCTCGTTCCCCGCAATCTAAGCCGCATCGTTCCTGGGAACAGTCCGGCCCGCTCCAGGGATCGTCGCACACGCAACGTTGTTTGTCGATGTCGAAATGACCGTGGTTCGAGCAGTCGGGTAAACACCTTAGGGCTTCCTGGTCCGCTTCCGAACAGTCGATGGATTTCCAACCCTTTTTGCAAAGACATTGACCGTTCAAACAGACGCCGTGTCCGGAGCAGTCAGGATCGATGCAGTCGACTTCTTCGCACGCGCTTCCCTTGTAGCCAGGGAAACATTTGCAGAATCCGTCGAGGCAATCTCCGTGTCCTGAGCAGTCTGCCACCTCGCACTCTTCTTCCCTAAGCTGACACTCCTTGCCCTTCCATCCGGACTGACATTGACATTCTCCGTTCACGTAGTTTCCGCGCCCGTTGCACAGTACGGGGCACAATTCTGAAAGGGAGCGCGGAACGACGTTTGTGAATGAGAGAATTCGAGAGCTCTGGTGACGTTCAGAGAATACGTCGGGTCTCCGAGGAGCCCTCGTCCGAGCTCCCGAAGAAGATAACTTACGATAAGCGCACGATTCTCCCGTATAATTCGGGTCGCAATTGCACTTTCCCATGGTACAGGTCCCGTGGCCGTGACAGTCATAAGCACAGGGCAGAGACGACACATCTGCGGAAATATTTTCTCATAATTTCTCGTCATCCCCCCGTATGGAACGCTTGAGTTCAGGACTCGGACAACGTAAGAATGACTGAGAGTGGACGAGCGTACGACGAGGCGGACAGAGCCGAAATAGAGGGACAGCGTAGATTACTCACCAGCGACCAGAGATACGAAAGAGACTTCTTCCTGTTGATCGCCGTCGTTATAAATGGACACGAACCAGCGACCCCGATCCAGAAAATGGATAAACTCAATGGACACCATCTCGTGACTGGTGGCCGCCTTCCGGGTTCGGATCCCCGACGACCGAGCATTGAGAATCTCGAAGAAGTCGTAGCGGGTGTGCGTGGGAACACTGAAACATAAATCGAGCGCCGCTTGAGTTCGCGTCTTGGAATCAGTTCAATTTCTCTGTCCGAGAACGATTGATGACCCGCCTGCATGCGTCTCCCGCCACTTCCCTCTGCTGCGCTTACCCCTTCCCGTCCTTCTCCCCCCTCGCCCCCTGAGCCCCCACGCATCCCCCTCTCCTTCTTGTATTGCTCTCGGCCGTCTCGCGGTCCCAGACTCGGCATCCAGAACAGTTAGAATTTGTTGAAAAGCCACTTAATGAATAGAGCCTCTTGTGTCCAAACGGCATTTGCATTGCCGCCTCTTGCTTCTCTACCGTGTGAGACTAATTTCCGGCGCCAAGGTCGTTTGTGCTCGGGACGAATATCGACTTCCGTTTCCTTTCAAGCGATAGCATAGCTGCCAGCCATTTCAGCTGCGGCCGGCTCCGCAGCAGAAACCATTCGAGAATTCCAGTTGATCTGCGGGACGAGGCGACCTGAGTCCCCTTTGGATCGAATCGTTGCGCATCGCTATCGGGAATCCAGCCGTCCGTCTAATCAAGCCCGTGCTGGAGAGTCCGCGCTCGAGTCTCTCGCGCTAGTGAGTTAGAGCTCCGAACAACGGAACTCTGGTGGTGGGAAGAGCATGGATGGTGGGAGCGGAGTCGGCAAAACTGAATGTGGAAGAACAGCTTTCGGAAGCTTTTGGTCGATTCGAGCGGACGACCTCTGAAGTACAGTGAGCCAGCGCAAACACGAGAGAAACGTGCTTATCATCTCGGAGCGGAAGCGCTGCCCGGAATGAGCTGGGACTGTACGCGCATAATGTCGAATCCATGCAAAAGATCTCGGCCCTCTGGCAGCCAGTGACCTGGAGCTCGAATGGGGCCTCTTTCGAGTTTCGGTGGCGAATCTTTCATTTGAAAACACAACGTCCTAGGCGAGGACACAAGACGTTTGCAAGAGCCTGACGAGTGAATTCTTCGGGCGGCCCGCGTAAGCGCGTAGGAATCCCCGACGATATCTCTCGCCGAAGCCGGGTATAGAAGAGTCTTGTCTTCCGAGAATTCTACTCACTCAGTCCATGAAATCCGCAGCTCTTACGGAAGGAGAGCAATGCTCTCAGAGAGCAAAGTGACTGGGCTTCCGGCATGCCGAGAGTACTCACCTATTTCTGCGTCCGTAGACAGCGATGCTCGCTGTTGACGGTAGCGAATAATTGAACTTGACTAAAGCTGCCTCGTTTTGCTGGAACTGCACGTTCCAATGACCGTAAGCGTAAATGGTGTTGGTGTGTCGCCTGCCCATCGCCAGTTCCGCGAACGACTCCGAGATCGGAGGAACGGTTTTCGTCGGTAGGGTTTCCGGATCTGTGGGGAGATTGAGAAAGTTACTTCACTGCCGAAGTTTGTAGGGATTCCGAGTTTCTTCGGGTCGGCTTTTTCCTTTTCTGGGAAATCCGAAGGTAAAAAACCGCAGAGAACTCATTCACCAGAGGAAACCTTCTTCATGCAGGAGAACTTATTTCTCCATAGGAATCATCCAACATAGAGTAGATGCAAGGCAAACATGCGAAAAAACGCCGGCGAGCAATTATAAGCATTCGATCGGGCAGCGAGCCCGGAGGAGTCGGAGGTGAACAACGCTCCGTATGGAAGGAGAACTCTCATCCGTAATTAGAGTTTTGCGTGAGACCGATGTTCCACGCTCAAGGGATGCAAACATAGATTGGGAACCACCGACCAACGTTCAGAGCCGCCTTCCTCCCTCCCTCCCTCGCTTGCTTCTCTCTCGTGGCCGTTCTCCGCACATATAAGAGTGTTCTCGTAGAGGACGGGGACTTGAGTTACCAAATCGAGATGCGAGAGCTTGCAATTTCTCCGCGGGATCGGTGCGGGAGGGCCGGGCAGCGGGAAAAGCCAGCTCGAAAGGGATCGTATATGGAATTGGTGCCAGTTGAGGAACTGTAGATTCAACATTGGGTTGCGTGCCGCTGTACCGGAGCTCTCCATAGACCTCTATGGACAATTCCGTAACTGTTCCTCTATAAATTACTAGGTAGGAATTGATGGAAACCCCTAAGTCTTCCATAAATATTTTCTTTCCCCGTGAAAAGCCCCGTCATGATACACTGAAGGGAAATTTCGACCCTATTTAGGGGGAAACGGGACCCCATTCTGAATCTATAGTTCCTTGAGCGGTACTCGTTCCATGACCGATTTACCGGCAGTATGTGCCGAGGAATCGAGGAATGTTTGGCGGCGCTGAAAATGCACAAATCTCGAAGTTTCGCCAATTCAGGCTCCGAGTTAAGTTCGCCTTTCCCGTCGATTCTCTTCCTTGGTCTCTCGTCCCGACCGTTCGCGTATCTGCGTGTTGTCCGTCTATCCGATGCTCAAACTCTCGCATGCGTAATGAAGTGGGGTTTTTGGGGAAGGATCTTCTTCGGGAACTCGATCCGACCGTCGCGCTCACGCTGTCGGGGAAATGTCGCAGGAGAGAGCAAATACTCTCATCGGCTCTCCAGCGTCCCGCGAGACCGAGGGTCAGAGAAATGTATTGGACTCTACATGAGTACCAAGCACGAAGGCCTTGCATACTCGTGGATTCCGCCGAAAGGGATCCTGTAAAGCTGCTTGGATGCGGGAATTTCCTCACGCATGGAAGGACGTCTTCGAGACTTCACCGTAGTTCTGTCAAGAAATCGCTTCAGCAGGGAATCAGTTGATAGACGTCCCTTGGAGAGAGCATCCCGACCACTGGCGGTAGAGTTGCTGCTGCGTCAATCGGGAGCACACATCAAGGGTCATCACCATCATACGCGAGCGGTCAATGGCGGGCAAAGGGAGGTCGGAGCAGGTTGTTTGTGTGGAGAAGTGAGTTAGGCCAAATTGAGAAGCTCGGGATCGAGGATGGACAGAAGATGAACGGAAGATGCTCGCTCCGAGGGGATCCGTCGCCGTTACGCCCTGTCTCCTTCCGTCCTGAAGAAGTCCTAAATGACAAATGGCTAAGCTCAGGCTGCTTGTCGGCCTTTTTGCTGGCGCGCCGCTGCCGCCTCTATCCATCTGTCTATCTGTGAACCAATGTACGGACGGCAAGACGGCCGCCGGCTCCACCGGACAAGATTGAGCAAGCGAAAAGCTGTTTTTTGTAGCATGGACAAGTGAAAAGCAGGAGAACGACCGACCGGCAGGCCGGACGGTCGGGTTGGCGGGCGGGTGGGTTGACCGGCGCGGCGGGCTCTCGGCCGGTCCGTTGGTCGGACGGGTCGGGGCTCGGGGAGACCTAGGTGGTCCGGAGGAGGTCACGCCTTACCATTAGGTCCATCTTGAGGCTCATTAGCGCCTTCATCAAGCTGAAGGCGACGGAGACCAGATGTCAGCGGTCGACTCCTTCTTTTGTTGTCGTCGTCGTCATCACCGCTGAGTTCGTCGTAGTCCAGGGCGCTGTCCGGGAAATACTTCTCGGTGAGTTTCGGTTGTATTTTGGCCGACTTCCGGGTCTTGGAAGAGACTCCCTTATCCAGGACTGCTTGGATTCCGTCGACTTCCTGTTTATCTTCGGGGGAACGTTGTCCTGACCGAGCCGATTTTGCAGCTTTCTCCCGCTCCGAAGCTCTACCGTCGATTGTCGACGACGGAGACGACCAGTTCGAAGTCGTGTCACTTTGCTGTCCAGCTTTTTTGTCGAGTTTCGTTGCTGCGGCACTCTTACGTTGAACGACGTCAATACGCTGCATCTCCCGCGCTCCGTTGTTTGCGAGGATGGAGTAGCGGAGCTTGTCTCCTTCGCTCAGGGTCGAGCGGCTGTACGACGGCTGATCCGCTTGCATCATGGTCTCACGAAGTACGTCATCATCGTCGTCTCCACCGCCGGGTTGGGATTGAGGTTTTCTCGATTCGGCTTTCCGCCGACCATTCCTGTTTTTGACTTTGGAGCAGCGACATTTCATTTTCACGCGACGGCCAAGCCAAGTCATCGATGTTCTCATCTCGATTTCCTCGGGAACTTCATCGCAAGTCGTCGTTTGTTGCCAGTTCCTCTTTTCTCTCTTCGAATTCGTGTTGATTGAGTTACTCTCATCGGATTGTGTATCCGTCTGCGGCTCGGGCTCGCTTGGGGCGTGCGCGACATGTTCATTCGATGATGATGGTGGTGTCGAGGGAAATCCTGATCCCTCGATTTCCCCTGAGCCCCCCTCGTCCAGGAGTGAATCCCGCCTATGACGTAAGAAGCTCTCTTTGAGTGAGTTGTCGAGCGTGAAAAACTCGTCGTCGAGATCCTCGTTCACAACGCGTGGCTTATGGTCTGCCGTGTGTTCGACGTTTGTCGTCGTCGTCTCATATGGAAGCCTGTTCGACAATATCTGCGAGAACTCGGAATCGGCCGAATCGGCACTCCCTCCGTCGGCCCCGGACGCCCCGTCTCGTTCGGAGGGCGGGATGTTTTCGTCACGTGTAAGGTCTTCACGGTGGCTGTCGCCGCTCCCCTCGATAGAGAGAAGTCTCCTCTTGTTGAACGTCGACACGGAGGCTACTCCGGCAGCAACAAGCGAAAGTTGCGCAGTGTGCGTTGCGTCGTCACCGCTGCCGAATCGACGCATCTCCGATGGCTCTGGATATTCCGCTGCAGGATCATCTCCGCCATTTGTCAATCGGTAGTTATTTGCCAGCAACCCAATAGCGAACTCAACAGAATCGTGCAGAACATTAGACACAAAATCGATCATTCCCAAAGACGGGCACAGGAACAGTGAGTTAGGAGCAAACGATACAGTCGTGATGCCATTCCCAGGCCCGGGCACCGCGGTCACCGAGCACGAGTTCGTGGGGAGGCTGGTTGCGAGCTTACTTTTCAGGTCCGGTCTGGTGTCCAGCTCCGGAGGGAGATCCATGACCACCAAGGGCGCATGTTGACTCCGTGCTGTGGACATTGTGACTGTTGGAAAGGGAGAGAGCAAATTAGAAGTTGAACAAATAGATTCTAATTCTGGATCTCTCGTTTCGGGTCGGAAACTCACAGATAAAATACGCGGTCGTAGTAAGTAGCGCCAAGGCGATGACTATGAAAACAACAGCAACACATTTCCAACTACATCGCGACTCGATGGCTTTCCGAAAGTTTCGGCTCTGCTGGAATTGGGAGTTGGCAGCTTGGATTCCGTGTTGAGCGTTCAGAGCGTTGAGCGTGTGATAAGCTCTGGCGTTGCTCTGCACGGCTCTCACGGGGACGGTCGACGTGATGGTCCCTGTGTAGCCGAACGCGTAGCCATCAGGGTTCGTTTTGGTTTCGTCGTGGTAGATGTGGGACGTCGACGACCGCAAATCAACGCCGAGTCCGTTCTGTTTGCCGCCGCCGAGCGTATTGCTTTTGATTTCTGGAAAGGAGCGGAGAAAGGAAAGTTAGAGCACTCGAGCATTTCAATGGCTCTCCGCCACTCCCGAGAAGGATGCGGTGGCGATCTCGGGAGACTTCCTCACAAGTCTATCCGTTCGATGATGATGATGATCTACTCGAGGACGCTACGAGTTTGTTTCGCTACCGGAACGCGAACTCGGCCAAATAGTGTTACTTGCGCCTTGTTCCGGCAAAAGCTGTTGATTTGAGAAAAGTCCCCGCGACACGTCGACGAACACATTTTGAGTTTTCTCTAATAGCCGAGCTGCGCCCTGGATCCGCGAGCAACAAACTTCCATTAGGCCATGGAAAAAGGAACCCTCGGCTGACTGGCAGGCCCACTCACTCACTTAAAATGGAGGAGAGTGAGGAGAACCTTTCGTTTTGCAGCATCCGTAGCGGCTTCGGAAGTTACAAGCATCCATCGCTAAACAAAGTTGTTGGCGTAGCTTGTTGGAGAAGTTTTTTCCCCTGCTTGCCTCCATTCGAAACTTCCCTGTTTCTCCGGAATCAGGTTCCATAGATCAGAGCTGGTGCGGCTCTCGATTCCCAGGCGGCCTGGTGGAACGTTTGAGATTTTGGCCGAATACGTGGACCGGGGCAAATGAACGAATGAATGTGAGGGTCCATGGCGGCGGCGGCGGGCAGAACACAAGGGGGATCGAAGGGCGAGGAACGCGGTCGACGTGGCGCGCAAAAGACGAGACGAACTCGTGGTCGACTTGCGCGGAGTGAAGAGCATCCGGCCATGGGCGAAGGAACGAAGGCGGCAACGGCAGCCATCCAACCGCCTCGCCGGGAGGGGTCGCAAGAGCAGGCCGACCGGGCGGGTGGCCGAGCGGTCGATCCGACCGCCCGCCCGCCGACAAACCCGAGCCTAAAAATCTCTTAATGAATGTGAATACCGGACGACCAGAGAAGCGGAGCAAGTTCCGCGCAGCGATGAACTTAATGGAATTTACAGCATAAGAACATCATTAAGAACAAGGAAAACTGCGAAAATGAGACACAGGGAATCCGCCGGGGGAACGAGCTGCATCGCGGCTTCACCATCGAGTAACTGATTGACCACCACCATTCTCGTTCGGGGAATGAATCGACTCGGAACCCACTGATTCAAGGAGAGAGTGTAGCTCGGCGGGTCTGGTCGAGCGATATGACGGCGCTGAGCTTCGCATGGGAATACGTCCGATATTGACGATCAGGACTTTGGAGGTGGCCACAGGTTGCGACTGATGCCAAGTATTCAGAGTGTTCCGACCATGGATGGAAGCGGAAAAACCCCGCGAGACTTTGTGACGAACTCAAGGCAGGACTCCGGGGCACCTCGGGAGCGAGCGCCCGGATGTTCCCCGACACTTCATCAGCGAGAGCGAAACGCTTCAGGTAGGAAGGGGCGAACACGCCTCCGTGACGGCAAGTCCAAGGAGAAACGGAGACTCGACCCAATGCTGCGAAGAAGGCGGAAAGAACTGGCCGTCCCTTCGTCTGTATTCGACCAGGCTCGCACGAGCGATGGCATTTTGAAAAATACTTCTCGACGCCATTTGTCAGACTGCTGCTGCAGCAGCAGCAGCTGGAACAGGAGCGGACTACGGCCATGCACTTCTACTCGCGGGAGCAGAAGAAAAAATGCAGAGATACGGATGAACGCGCCGTACGCAGCATTAGGAAAAACGAATACGATCGAAGAGACATCTAGCGTCTCCGAGAATTTCCATGCGATCAATCAGCGCTCGGATGAACCCGAGTCCCCACCTGAGTGGCAAGTTTCTATTCCTGAGGAGGAAAATCGCTGCAGACCAAGTTTTCCGTTTGAAACAAAACAAGAGCCGCTCCGGGAAAACGTCGGCATACTCAGGAATCGGCAGCACAGGAAGGAGATAAGCGCTCCGATGAAAAATGGAACAGACAGACGGAGCGAGCGTCTCCTCGGGTGCAATATCGACTAGCCAATGGCCAACGGGAGGAAGGCGAATGGGGAAAAGGAACATAGAACCCTTTTCTTCGCTCCCGCCACCGGAGCGAGTTGGGAGAAGACGTACGATGCGAAAGTTCCGTTTTTCCATAAACAACGTCGACTCGCAACAAGCGTTGAGACAATTTCCAGCCCTCTCGCGTCGGGAGTCCGCTATGCCTCTTTTCGAAAGCGTTCCTCCTCTCCCGTATAGAATACATGATGAAGGATCAGCGGTTTCCGACGATGGGTCCCGAAAATTCAGCCCGCGACCTTAGGTTTATGCTCGGGATGAGTGATATCGCCAAACGAATTCGGGAACGGATATTTTTCCTCCCGGGAGATTTTACGTTCCTTTCGCAACGCTAGAAGGAATTATCGTGAGGCAATCGGCAGCCAAAGTGTCGAAGTTTCTCGCGACTTCGGGACCTCACAATTTGTCCCGTCGCCGATGGGAAACATGGACATGGGCCAATTCCAGAAGGAGGCGCTGTGGGGTCGCGAGCTTCTCTCGCGTTTTTCATTCGGAATGATACGGCTTCGGAACACTTTCTCCGCGCATGCTTACCGCAGGAAGCGGACAATACTGGTCGCGTACGCGGGTAAAACGTTTTTATGCGGAGACTTTCAGATGTTGCTCTCTCAGTGAATAGACCACGAGAACGACGACGGCGGCTGCAGCGAGGACGACAACAGCACCGAGCACGACAAAAACAGCGTCGACGACGACGTCGTCGTCGAAGACGAGCCCTCGAGTTTTGTACCATTTATAAGAGGTCGCGGCTCCGAGCTATGCATCTCGTGGGAGCTGTTTATTGCAACAACCCTTCTCGAAATGAACGTTTGCCATACGACTCCGTGGTCTCGTGCTCCGTGCTCTCGTATTTCCGTCCAAGTTCATTCACTATTTCCGTCGTTCCTCTTTTCTGCCGCACCCGAGCAGTCTCGTTCGTTGGTCAGAATCGAGGACTGAATGAGCTCATTTCGCTGATTTTCGCACTCGATGGAAGGCGGCCCCCCAAACGAATCTCGATACGAAAATTTCGCCGTCACCGGGTTGATCTCGGTTCGGAGTCGAATCCGGGCTCACGATACTCGCTCCCTTGCCCGGAACCCGAGAGTTGACAACGGGCTCTGTTCGGACCCACCCGTCCATCCTTCCGGGCCGTGCTTGTAAACTCCCGCTATAAACGTTGAGTGCGTGCAACGCCTGGCGAAAACTCGTGCAGGTGATATATTCATCTGGCTCCTCGGTCCTCGTCCGACCGACTGGCTCCGAAACCACCTCGGTCGGCCCCCTCTGTCGAAACGAAAAGGAGTTCGCGACACCCACACAAACATCGAGCGCAGTTGGCAGGCGGCGGCAGCTATTACGAGCTGAGGGGAGAAGGAGCGCGGATAGTGTTACTTGAAATTAATAACGAAACTCGTTCACCAGCTCGCGAGGAACCCTAGGGGGTCTAGCTCCGACTATAAGTGTCGCTTGGAGTGTACGGCAACGACTTCAGCCTCCGTAGCCTGTGGGGGACGATTTCGGCGAGGCTTCTCCTCGATCCAGATAAGTTCGTTTTCGCTTAGGAGAGCGTGCTGAGAATTCCATTGCGTCAAAGAAGTTTTTCCGCGACACCGATGAGCAAGTCGCAGGCGGACAGCCGACCGGCCCACCGGGCGGATGGTCAGCTAGCTAACTAGCTAAGCGAAAGTGACTGACCACGGAGCCCTCGCTCGGTCCAACGGGCCCCTCACGTAGGAAAAACTCGTATCGACAGGAGACCTCGAACAGGGGAGGAGGAATCTGTTATGGTCGCCGGCTAGAAGCGGGTTCCTGAACGGCTAGGACTCGGAGCCGTTTTAATTAGAAGAACATGCTCCATGTTCGAGTTTGCCGCCGCCGCCATCATCGTCGTTGTTGCCGCTTTCGTCGACGTCGTTGTTATTGTGCGGTGGCGGAGGTTCCTGTAATTAGCGTCGCGCGGGAATGGACGACGACAGCGTCGTCGTTTGAGGCCGTTGCAGACGAGATGCCATCCACAGCCTTTTCTTTCCGCTTCTTCCAACCATCGTTCGTTCTCGTCGTCGTCGCCGCCGCCGCCGTCTACGACCACCATCGAGTCGACGAGCTTTTACTCCAAAGAGAGACGACGTACGTAAACGGGGGAGCGCGACACGTTCGTCCGTTCTGGTCCATTTTCTCTGCTATGACGACGACGACACGCATAATCCGGGGACGAATGGATTGCCGCATACATGCTTTTCGGAGTCGCGTTGCATCGGGAATGAATTCGAGCGCACGGGACCAGGAGGAGTTTCTCTTCCCCGTATCAAGCTCGGGCAAAAATGCTCACCATTAGGAGAGTAGTAGTAGGCGGGAGCGGTCGGACTCCGCGCCGTTTCGTAATGAGGACTATCCGACGGTGAGGCCATGAGCTGTCGACTTCCAGTATGGCTGTTCATGGTCAGGTTCCTGGGCGGTGCGGGAGGCCCGTCTGCGGAGGAAAAATGGGGAGAGCATGAGAAGATGAAACATTGGAAAAGACTCCTCCATTCTCAAACTCAGGGAGCTCGCACCCCCGACCTTCGATATCGCGAAGGAGGTCTTCTGATTCCGGGCACCGTTCATTAAGGTGATCAGAGGTCGAGGCAGAGGAAGACAAAAGCCATCGACTGTAGCACAACCCCGTCTCCAAGAGATGATGGAACCTCGCGAATTGGTTCTGTTGCCATCGAGTCGACACTGTCCAAGCTACTGACTAACCGATCGACGGACGGACGGACGGACCGACCGACTCGCTGACTGACTGACTGACTGTCTGGCTGTCTGTCGAGGGAACGAAAGCGAGAACATCTGACTCGTGAACTGTCCGTTCACCGGCGGTCTTCAACAAAGGAGGAGTTATTATGTAATTCAATCATCTGTCTCTCGAACCTGTGTCGACTGCTTGTCGGTGCGTCCGTCCGGTCATCTGGCGGCTCACGGAGTCGCTGCTGTTCATTGTGCTTCGAGAGTAATCCCTCATCTCCCCCCAGCCCGACGATATCCTCCCCCGCCCCCTCCGTCTTCCAACCCTCCCTTGTCGTTCCTGCAGCAGGACCGAAGGTGGGTCCCCACGTATGCAGCGGATGGCAGCGACAACATGGAGTCGTTCGTTTTCCCGTCCGGCTCCGCTCAGCGACGTCGCCGGGGGGGTACGCGCACTTGCGTGTGTTCATACGTTCCAAGTGGGAATTGTAAGCAATGTTTTTCCGCTGGTTGGTTGCCCATCCTGCACGCGATACCCTGCTGGGGTCCCGTGTGCCCGTACATCCCGCTCCATAAACAAAGCGCGCAAATATCCAGCAATTGAAAACTAATAACAGCTTTTCCTTGCGTTTTCCGGTTTTTGTGCCCTGGAACAACAAAACCGGCTGCGGGCTCCAGCAGAGTAAAGGAATCTTAGCGGATCTTTGTCTCGCTCGACGTCTACATCGAGCCGCGGGCCGTATTTTCCGTGTGCGATTTCATTTTGGATATCCCCATTCGCTTTTGCTCCAGTGTCGGCTCGCCTCATCGTGGACGTCTCGTCCTCAAGAAGCAGCGAATCGACCGATCCACGCGTCGATCGATGCGTCGATCGATCGATCAATCACTTCTTTTGCGTCGTCCTCGTCTATGCCGCAGCGGACACGGTGTCTTCTGTTAGAGCTTATATCTTTTCAGCGTGCCATGACAGAGCATGTATCGCGGTGCTCTGCTACGTACGACCGGCATCGCTATCTCAGAAACTGGCAGGCAGGCAGGCAGGCGGGTGGACGACCGTACGTACGTACGAAGCGGCGAGTGTGCAGCGAGAGCGGTCAGTCGGTCGGTCAGCTTGCGGCACGGATTTCGTTCAGCTTATCTTAGTCCTGGCATCCATCAAGTAATCTCCCCACCCGTAGCGCACGTACGACGGCCGCTTTACTTGAGAACACACAGTGATTATGCAGTCCCTGGACTCTGTCGAGTTGCTCTGACCGTTATTCCACCCGCGAACCCCTAAACACTAACTGTCCAAGGATCAAATCTTGGAAAAGTTCCGGAGGAAGGGCCTTCCTGCCAGTTTTCCCTCCGGGACTTTTTCGCCCTGGGTCGGAATCCCGTGACGATTCGCTCTCGAAGAGCCTTTGGTTCGCTTCCTGATCCACGATTCAGTGAAAAAATCCTGGAAAAGTCGACCGAATATGAACCTGCGCGGGAGCTCAAGTCAAGCCCGAGCGCGCTTGTCCCAGTCGGTTGGGACTCCGGTCAGGCGATCGGACGGATGAATGAGTGGATGATCAAGCAATCAATTGATTACGGGAGTTCTACGAGAATGTGCCATGAGTTCGGCAGTATGGGGATCCCACTTCCTCGCGGACTCGATGGCAGTCGAGCTCCGCTTGTTTAGCGTGGGCTGTGCTGGCGCAACGTGCGTAATGCGATTACGTCCGGCAACGGCAGCAGCAGGCTGCAAGTGCCGACTAACAAGATCCTTCTCCTATTAGGAACGAAAACCGACTACACAGTCTGGCCGCACACCAGCCGAGCGGCCGGCGGAGAGTTACCAAGCCGACAGGGCAGCCAACAGACGCGCCCACCAGCCGGCCGGCCGACGGACAGGCGAAAGCTTGGATAAAGGGAGTCAGATAACCCACTAGTGGTCAGCTCTCGGAAGGATGGCAGCGAGGCCACTCTACCTCAGAGCTGGTTTTTCGGCACCGGGGTCGATTTCCTGGTTCGACGGTCGAGTCGACAAGTTCGAGATCGTGTCTCTCCCAACAAATTCCGAGATCGCTGGATGAAAACCATCGAGGGACGTCAAGATACGCTCAAGCACAAGGAAACCTAAGGTTGTTTGATTTTTTGTGAAGTATATTTTCAGCGGGTGGGGAGCCTAATTCATTACTCCTCATTTTGCGGGGGGCTCCGTCTGGCCGTATCCGTATCGTCCGAGTCCGAGTGTGCAAAGGATGAAACCTCTCACAACTTTCTGAATCGATTTCAGTCTCCCACTCGCTGTGTGTTAGTCTGGAGCCAGGCTTCCGCGAATGATTGTGGTAATTCAAATGCCGGTATAAATGCACCGACTTTTCACTAGCAGCGGGTGACGAGAATTCAATTCTTTGTTGTATTCAGAGAGGCGTCCAGGCAATCTTGGCCCGCATTCATGTTCCCCCTGTTGTTTCTTTCTGCCGGACTTCCCGATAGTCGGCTTGTGCGCCCTTCGACGATGGGGCACGCACGTACTGAATTTCTGAATTCCTCCAAACTTTTTTCATTGCGAATTAAAGAAACTGATGCCCGTACATGGCATCCATGATCCCCGTCCTGTTTCCGGACGCGTTCCACGCAAGACGCGAGCGGAATTATTTCGTATCCAATCATCGTCCAGTCGTTTTTCTCGACTTTGCAGTGAACCAGGACGTATTGATTTTTGTCTCAATTTCATCTGCCGGCTGAATTATGTCCGTGATGCTCGAATCAACGGGTTCGATCATTCATGGCCGCAAACCTACCCGGGAGAAGGATTCAAATGGATGGTTTCGACAGTGAGCTCAGTGGGCTCCGAGCGGCCATAAACGCAGGAAAGCAAAAAGAGTGGAGCGGATGTGGATTAAGAGCGAACGGAAACGGAAACGCAACCATGATGAATTGATCCTCTAAGCACAGATAACGTCCAGGGAGAATGGAACGACGAGGGATGAAGAATGAAAATCCTGGCAGCGAGCTGCAGAGAATACTTATGCTCCGAAGTCGTGATTCACCAGCGAGGTTCCAAGCGACGTGATCGAAGCAACCGAGAGAACTTTCTCAACAGCTCCCTCCAGAAGCCATTATTTCCTATTTTGATGTTTGCACGTTTGTTCTCTTCTCACAAGAGTTCAAATGCGTTTCAAGGTAACCCAGGGGATATTTTCAGACAGCCTCATCGCTTCTGTTTGCTAATGTGCCGGAAGGCCAGTCTTGCAGAGCCGAAAGTTCCGGGTGAGAAAAGCACGTGCCCTGAAAATGTTGGCTCCCTCGAATGGTGAAAGAGAATGGCGAATGAGAAACAGTTGGGACGCTGGGGCTCCGACGATCCAGCGAAGAAAAGCTGCAGGGGGTATTCGGCCCTCCAGTAGCGATGAGAGTTTGAGAAAGAGCTCAAAACCGGCCTCGAAGGGCCGTGCTGGCTGTCTTCCTGTCCGTCAGGTCAATTTCATTTCAGCGTCAGACCCTCAATGCTCGATCGAGATTTTCGGAGTCGAGACGGGGGCTTCCAGGCGCGGTGGTGCTGTTTCCTTCTCTCCCCTGCATCCTCTCGCTGCCCTCGGCTCGCCCATCAAATTCCATCGCACGGAAGAAACGACAGCGGAAAACAGAGAAGAGGGCGGCTCGTGGGGCGGGGTAGAGGGGGACAGTCAAGAAATATGAGATCCCAAGGCTTCCGACGCCCGCGCTCGGCCTTCATATTCATTCGTTGTTCTCCAACAGACGACCTTCGCGTTCGTCGTCGTTGACGTAGAAACGGTGGAAAAACATCAGAGTCCGAGGAGGAATGCTGACGGAGCTCGTCGCGGCTTCGTTCTCAAAGCAATGCGTGCAATCCGATATGGAGCTCAGCGCGACTGGGGATAGCGATAGAAGTCGAATGCGCCAACTTGTTTCGACATCTCACGCCGTTACATGCTCGGGGAACACCTGGAGACGCATGTAGAGGTTGAGCCTTAAGCACGCCATACTCTCGTCTCGAGTTCCGAGAGCTGAAGGTGTCTCCCACCGAAACTCCGGCCAAGAAACGCCTCGGACACCGATTACGCAAGTGAACTCCGCAACTTCGAATTCTCACGTCCAAGCGCCCTCGACGACGGCGTTGTTTGCGGAGCCAACACGAGCCCGAAGGAGTGAGGCGAGGGTTGCGGCGAAATCAGGGAACGGGGAGCTGGGAACACGAACAGGAGCCAGGCCACGAATACGAGAGTTCCGACGAATGAACGTGTCCCGTGTAGCTCACCGTTAGCTCGACTCGGCTCTGGTTCTACGAATAGCCCGCGGCGAATTCTGTGAGGATACGTCCTTGTTATCCTCTCCCGGATTCCGCGAGGCGTCGGTTCCGTCGTCCACGACGACGCCCTCGAAGGAGTTCACCGCTCTCATGTGTGCGTACGAGGGCAGAGTTGACTTTCTGAGAGACAACATCGAATACGTCTGCGCCGTCTTGTCGTATGGTTGTTGTAATCGATGGATGGTATGCCTGTCTCTGGAGGCGCTACGTCTGTGGTGGTGAACATTCATCGTTCAAGGTGCATTTGCATATTTCGATCTAACGACGTCAAGCCAATCTACATCCATAAGCCTCTTAGGGCGCGCTCCTATCCGAGCTCGTCGTCGGCCGGAGCCGCTTGAGGTTACGAGCTATCATTACAGCTGCATCTCAAGAACGTCGACTCTACCCTCACGGCCGATGGCTTGCTCCCGTATGACGACGACGACGACGCTAATAAGCTTATAATCGCAAAACCTTGCGCTGAGTAGAGTATGCTCTCAGCACTCTTGGCATCGGCGCGTTAGGGAGAAGGCGTCAAAGCCGGGCCCGCCCGGGGTTCCCGTTCGGGTGGGAAAGCGAGAAGTTCGCGCTGCCGATCCGAGGGGGGCTCCTAACCTCCTACACCTCACGAGGTTGCGTGAGAGGCGGTCGCAACTTCAGCAACTGGTGGTAGCAGGCGGGAGACGCTTGTTAGATGGGTAGGCGGTGGGTGGCTGCTTGACGCGTCGGATCACTGCCCGGCCGAAGCACACCCAGTCGGGTCGGAGGCAAGTTTCCAAAGTTTCGAGGCCTCACTTCTCTTGAGCGCTATACAGTAATTAAATCCTCATCAGTAGATGCGAACAGAACCCTTCCGAGCGGAGCTTGAACGGTCCGGCTCGCTGCGAGCTCGCGCGCCGTTCTTCTCCGCGCCGCTTCGCTGGCATGAGCGAGATAGGACACGGCCACACAAAGCCCCGCCGTCCCACGTTTCGACGACTACCGGCTAATAGCCCACGGAGTTACGTTAGGCGGCTCCGTACGTCTGCATTCCCGTTCTAGGTCCCGGACAAGCAAGAGAACGGCACTTCGGCCGGCGAAAGCTGTGTAAATCCCGAGTCTTTCCGTCAAGCCGTCGGTGTCGACAACAGTCTCTTCGTCAAGCCGAAACAAACTATCGGAGTCCTCCGAATGCAGCTCCCGAGGACTCCTGGGACTCAGTGAGTTCCGGGAGAGCATTTCTTCGTTCCGAGATGCTTCATGGACTCTCAGATTCGAACCGCAGTTCCGCGCTCGAGTCGCCCCTCCCCCTGCGAAACCCTCCGAGCGGGGGAGCTCATGCGACCGCAGACTCGAGAAGATGAAAATGGAGCTGATTGTCAGATCTTGGCAACCATGATCATCATTAGAGATACTCCACGAAACAAAAGCCGATGAAGTGGGCCTCCGATAGCTCGACAGCGTATACTCCGTCGGAATTTTCACTCCGCTTCCTCCCGCTCTCGAGTCGATGGGCTGAAGCGAGCTCTCATTGACTGATTATGAGGGGGGGGGTTCGCACTGTTTTCATCGAAATGTCGGTCCTGCGTTCGCCTCTTCAAAATGAGCTCAAAGGGGAACTCGTTGCCTCATAGATTCCCGTCGTCGGAGACTATGAGCAGGAGCGAAACTATTCCATCGAGTCCCGCAGCATTCCGCGGCCCCGATTGGCCTGTGACGGAGAGGGTTTCCGCAGGGAAGGTTTCCGAATTCGATTTTGCTGAAAACTTTACTCGGAGTGCGAAGCGGAAAATTGGAAAATTTCCATTCCGCTGAATGATTTCTCGTCGCCAACAAAGAGAATTCCGAACGCGTAGGTCGTGCGCGGACCGCTTCATCGTCTCTCCTCTCGCAATAAACCCTGGGATTTGATTCGTTTGTGCTCTAACCTATGTTTCGGGACGTGAATCGTCCGAACCGAATCCAGAATCAAAGCTATGATTTCCACCTAGAAGCCTGAGTTGTTTGACAATATAGCTTCCCTCTTATACTTTACGAGAATAGGCGGAAATATGGCCCATGGTCGTAACTCTTTGCATTTGCTCGTTTTGAAAGTAACTCCCCCGCTCCGGAGAAAAATCCGACGCAGGTCTGGAGAAAGTATGTCTAGAAATATTTCTGTGTCTTTTGTTTTGAAACAATAAACTACACTGAGCGCAGCCCCAGGCCCTAAGGCCATCTGCGAGGGTCACGACCCCGAGTTCCACGAAAGCTCAAAACTTTGAATCTCATTCGATGGGCAATCGGAAGCGTCAAAGTTGGAAACTTACTTCGAACGTTGTGCTGTTGGAGCATGGCGGCCGCGGTTTGATTATTGTTTGAACCCGTGGAGCTCAAAGCGGTGAGTTCGCTCTCGTTCGCATAGGTTCCATCGTCATCAGAGTTGGTTCCCGAGGATCCTGATAACGCGTTGTTCTTTCGATGGGACGCGGCTTGGTTGAGCGAGGCGTACCGTTGTCCTACCCAATTGGCCGGCGGGTTGGCCTGTTCGTAGATGTTGCTACCATCGTCGGTGAGATCGTCGGAACCGTCGCCCGAGAATCTCGATTGGGGATAGTAGGCTCGTCGGGACGCCACCGTGAAATCACCTGCGAAAAAGGAGAGATAATTTATTCTATGCTCCCGCTCAATCCGTTCGGATCGTTGCGAGCCTTGAAGAGCATCGCAATTTGTCCAGATGGCACTTTGTTTGTTCGTATGGTTCCGTGATGGCCTGTGTAGTGCGGGTAATGAGGCAACTAATTCCGAGGAGGGGACTCACTCAGACAAGACATCTGCTCAAGCGACTTCGCTAACAACTCTATCCATCGATTACGCGTTGGCAAATCGTTCAAACAATTCTCGAACAGGTCGAATAGGGGGATCGATAATTTCCTCGATTGATACAACGAAGAGCGGTAATTAGATTTGATGATGCCTCGTTTTGGAGTGAGTGAGTGAGCGAGCGAGCGGCGTGACTCAGTCACTCGAAGACCATTCCCGGTGTCATATCGCCATCGTCGGGACGTCTACTCGCCCGGGTGAGCTTCGGAGCGATCGACGAGAGGAACAGACGAGCGAAGACACAAACAAATAAAGATGTCAAGGAAGATGCGGGTCGAAAACAGCTTCTTTCTGGATAAGTCTCATCCGTGCCGGCATTCGGCGTGTGGAAGATCACACTTCCACATACTCGGGCGGCACGCACACGCGATCAACCTACACGGAGCCGAGATAATCTCAGCCGTGCACAAAGCCATGCAGGGTCAAGCACCTGCCGGAGCGGGACGCAAGACAGAGATAGCGAGCCGTAGATCCACTGCAATCAAAGTTTTTATATGTTCCTGGCGTTTTTTTCTGTAGCAGTCTGCTCTTCACCAACTCGAACGTTCAATCACGCCGAAGTCACATCGGGAAGTGAGCGCATCGGTTCCTTAGATCAAAGCGTCATAAACGAGATATCCGTGGCCTTTTTTTAAGAGCAGCAAGGTTCCGAGCGAGCCTCCGCCCTGACCTCGATGAACATCGGATCTAATTCGTCGAGCGACGACTCCGCCGACGAGGTGGCTCTTTTTGACAAATAGTCCCGGAATCGCGTTCCACCGATATCGACAGGAGTGTTTTATTGACATTTGTGCCACTAGACAATTTGCAGTGTTGACGTGTCGCGGAATATCGCGACTAGTTCACTCGGCGTTGCGGGTCTGGCAGAGTTCCGTTCCGTAAATCAACCTTTCCCGATGTCTCGGCCTGGGGGAAGCTGCGGAACCTGAGATGACTTTCGTCAGGAAACTCAAAGTGGCAGTGGCGACGATCGTACACGTGTTTCCGAATGCCCTCAAGCGGACGAAGCATGGTCTCGCACGTGGAATTGGGAGACGTCCATCCGCCCCACGGGCGAGACGAAAAGACGCGGATTTCGCATCCGTGATCTCATCGCTGGTATGTAGCTCCGAATTTTCCCGAGAAAGTTCGGGAGAAAATGTAGACAAGAGCTCCCGCAGAAGCGGAGGGAAGCTACAGAAGATAAAGAGCACCGTTGTGTTCCTCTCGTGCGCCAGTCAACGGCGCATCAGCGGAGATAACAGAAATTATATAACGGACGGAGGCAGAATGCTGAAGTAGAAAACCGCACAAAACCCACCGATAGTGGAAGGCAAGGGGGAAAACAGCGAAGGTGGAGTTTTCTGTCTATGGTCCCTCCTCTACTCTCCTCAGCCTTTTCACAAGTACGATGTTCTTCCACCATTTCATCAATCGAAGACGAAGTTGGACTGCCAACGTTGCAGTGCTGCCGCTTGATAGAGTTGTTCACAGACAGCTTGTTTTCTTATCGGCAATGCGTCCGATCCGAAAGACGAAGGAGGCCTCACAGACATGTGGGTTCAAAGATTCCATGAGCGTCGCTAGAGCGTCTCCTAATCACGAGCTGCGGGTGGGAAAAAAAAGAGGAAATCCTTCGTTGCCCGACCCAGCTGAGGAATTCTATGACCGACCCCGCTCCGACCTCTGGCTTTCTGACATATGCTCTTACTCAGTGGAGCTGCAGCGATAGTTCACGGAAACGTGTATCGTTGGAGAATGACGCAATGCTTCCCGATAAGAATACCCTGGTCTTTTGCCTGTCTTTGCTTCGAGTCGTTGAAAGTGACCGCTTATTGGGAGAAGAGACTCCAATTAAGGCAGTGGTCACGAGCCATGTATTCTGACGGCTAGCGAGAAAGACTGACTGAGTGAGAGACCAAACACAATAGTTAGTACTGCTGGTTGCCGCGAACCAACTGGAAACTATAGTCACGCTGACCGTCGTTTGCTGACTCGTTTGCTTCTTTTGCGTTTCCGCCCGGCCAGCTCGAAAGCAACAACTAAAAAAGTAACTCGAATGTATTAGGCTCTTCAGCCCGTGGTCTCCACCAGTCTTTCGGTCTGTCGCGACCATTTGGCCAACAGTGGGCTGGCGAGCCGAGTTGCTTTGTCTTCCCGTGACCCTGCGAACGCCCGCCCGTGCGCAGCCTCTGTTTCCATGGGTGATGTTTGAGTCGAAAATCTCGGTTTGCTTCTTTTGTCTCCTATTTTCAGACGAATGAGGAGAGACACTCCGGCTCGCCCGCCCGCTCACTCGCTCTCTCCGGGCCGCTCTCCCGCCGATAACCGGCATCAATAAACATGGCCGGACAATCCGCGTTCTATGGTTCTGATCGAAGGCGACCGAGAAGTCAAAGAATAAACGCATAGATTGCTGTGGCATTATGAACTCGAGTTTTTCGCGCGTCAGAGAGAGCGTCGCTGCGCGTCGGCGAAGGGCGCCGAGGAAGCCCGGCCTCTTCCAAGAGCTTCCCGCAACGCTACTGGTCGCGTCTAGAAGCTCTCGACGGCCGCCGCCGCGGCGCTGCTGCGGCTGCTGCGACGACTACTGCTTAGTGGCAAACTGCTTGGCTAACTGCTGTCAAGCGAGTGGCACCCGTCGCTCAACAGCTGCTACCGGCAGTTAATCTCAATGGGAAAAAAGAGATTGAAGCAGAAAAGATTCACTCTGTGCCAACCAGGTCTACAATGGTAGACCTTCAACCTTTACCAGCAGCGGTGATCGCGGCGGCACGACAGGGTCTCGTATTTGACAAAGTCTCGTAGACAATGAAAAATGACCGCAGGGGGCTCCGCGAATAACTCGCGAGATCTGGAGTATTTTTTCCCCGAGTTTGGAGCTTGATCTCGATTAGATGTCTCGCTTTGTGGATCGTTTCGGCTTCGGACTGAAAGTATCGGCCAACACTCGGCCGGCGGACTGACTGAATTCAGGTGAATATCTGAGGGGCGGGTTCAGTTTTTCCGAGGATTCAGCGCCGACCAGCTACTCGGTCTCAGAGAGGGGATCTTGTCAGGTGCGACGACACCAAACCTCGCTGAACGAAGACGACCGTCACTGCGTATACAACATCTATTCCATGCTGGGATTCCCTTTGAGTGCACTTGGAGCTCGCGTGGAGCCATCGGAAGAGCCATCAAGTCCATGATGTCCGCGAGAGAGACGACACTTTTCGACGTTCTCCTCAATGTCGCCACTTGCTCTCTGTTGTCCTTCTCTTTCTTCCCGGACACTTTCTTGCACCTTCCTCACGTCGACAACGGATTAGTGGCTTCTCTCTGCCTCCCGCTCCCGGTGTATGCTTTTCAGTGGCTCTCGAGAGCCATTCTCGTGAAATACGTGCCTGTTTGCCCGAGCTCAAGACAACGATTCTCCACCTCTAGCGGACATCTGGGTCACTTGAAACACCGTCAGCGTGTCATGTCGGCTCGGACCGATGTTTATCCGGTGTACCTCGAGGGAGGCTCGCGTTTCAGGGCTTGCGATCGGGTCGAAACCCCCGAACAGCTACTGAGTCCTTTGGCATAGAATGCGCGTCTCGACATCTATCTACCGAGAGTGAGCGTACAGTGTGCGAGTCCTCATCTGAGAATCTGTCGTGCGTCGATCTTCGGATTCCATGTTCCACGTCCCTCGTCCTGGACAGCTCAATCTGGCCCGATCGAAAGCGCCCCGGTCGATGATATGCTCCCCCTTGCCAAGCCTGGATCGGAGACTCGGAACGAGTTTTGGCTCAACCGACGGACCTCAAGATCCGTGGAGAATCCCGAGGCGTATTCGAATTCACGTGGCCCCCGTCAAGAATTACCCGTCGAAACAACCGGGGCAAGTGTCTTTCACTCATTATCCGTAGCACTGTAACGTCCGTGTCAGGACTGCAAGGCGGTGTCCTCGCTCGCGTGACCCGATGTTCATCTGTCCACCCGTATGTCGGCATGAAGCCTCTCTACGCTGAGATTATCATTTAAAAATAAAACGCCGCACCCGCGCTCGGTTGCTGGCTAAGCTCCGCTGGGCTGCCCATCATTCAGCAGACAGATGACGGATGGCTCTTTTTTGTTTTTCGTTTGAAGCGATTTTGTGGCTTTCGGCTCTTTTGGTATGACAAAAAAACGCTGCCACAGGTTCAAAAGTCGTCGCAAAGTTCGCGCGGCGAGGACTACAACGGCGACGACGGTGATGATGACCATCATCCTCGTGGGTGGATGGGTGGGTAGTTGAGACTATACATATCTTGGCTTCGGGCTTTTGCTACCTGACCGGCGGAAGGGGCTCGACGAGACGAACCACAGCTACCTGAGCTCTTTAGCTCCCGATAGGGTTGCGTTCGCCTAATGTGTCGCCCGTCCCGTCTATTCATTCATCCATGCACCTATCCATCCATCTATTCGCCCGCCCGCCTGTCCATCGTCCGTCCATCGGTTGGTCTGACTCGTAAACCAGAGCGCAAACTCGTCCTGGAAGACAGATGGCGTACTTGTTCTTTATCGCCGAGCGGAGTTGATGCTGGTGGCGAAGCTCAGTTGTCGTTGTCGTCGACCGACTGCCGTCGTTGTAGTCATTGTTGATGATCGGAACGCTAAAGAGACGCATGACAAGTTTGGCGACGGTAGTTTTGGCTCTTGTTTCTTTCCTGTAGAAGCTGCTGCTGGTGACGGTGTTTCTCCTCCCTTGTGCTCGAAACGATGACGAAGATGATGACGACAACAGCAACAACAAGCACGGCGTGCACCAACAACGACA